ATCGTGGCGAGCAAAGAAAGCACCACTCGCGTTTTTGAGAATCTTCTGAATATCAATTGACATTAAACGATTAGTGTTGCGAGTGATAAGCGCCCTACGTGGCTGCTCTCGGGAGTTTTTTCATATTATATTCAATTATTTAGTGTTGCGTAAAGAAATATAATATAACTGTCCACTCACGGGTTCTCCTTTTAATAAAATGAAATGTAAAGAGTGGACAGATTCAGCGCCCTATTGTGGCTGCTATTTTTCTGTTTCTGTATCATTTGCCAAGTGTTTGCGTTGGAAATATTGCTGAAAAAAGTATTTATTTTGCTAAAAGAAGTGTTCAATTTTTTTTATTAATAACAGAATCATTCTTTTGTAATTTCTTGAACCACTAATATCTGCTACATACACATTGAAGATTATATATTTAGATTGAAGATTTTATTAATTACTGACATTTGACACAAGAATAATGAAAATTAAAGTCAATTTGAGATTGAAGTTTAATTAGAGTCTTTTGAAGTAGGCATGACTATTTGTTGTTAGAGGTGTTAGAAGATTAATTATTCAATCGTAATACGTTGCTTGCATACAATATTGATATCAAAATAGTTTACATTTTTGTAAATTTTTTTAATCTCTCTGCAAAAATCAAAGTTTCTTCGCGATTGTTTCTTGATTGTAAAAAATATGTAAATGCAAATATGATACTTCATATTGATAGCAACTTTTCAAGTAGAGTCGCCGTTAATTCGTTAGTACTATCTCTACACGAGTACAATTTCAATTTCGATACAGTAAATTATGATTATTTCGATTTAAATGCTTTTATTATGTTAAATATTGATTATTGCATATCACAAATGAACTAATAGAGTCGCGATAAAATCTATTCTTGTTTTAGCTTTGCACAGAGACATAATTCATTTTTTGCTTAAATTCATTTTGCTTAATAGTCGAGTCTACCGTTTTAGTAAATTCATTTTTTTTCGATAAAAAAGACTGATATTGTTAATATTTTGTGTGTACTAACCCGTTTCCTTTTCAGCTTCTTACCCAATGAATTAGTTTGTTTCAGGTTATTTACAGAAATTCCGACAATGAACACAAGTTTGTCAACATGAGAAGATAATGCCTTGAGTTTTCTGTTTCAGGTTAGGTATCGTCGTGGGATCAAATTTCAACTCCACCGAAATAAAATGTTTATAAAACCATGTTATTATATTATTTAGTCTTATTATGTATGTGTTGTTATTGATATTTTTATTGAAATTTATGTAAAAAAATTATGTCCGTAACCATGTTTGATTGTGATATATACTTTGAATATCTATTATCGAATTAAAATATGTATAAAAATATATCGATATACTTTTATGCTTATTACATATTGTTATTGAAATTGTTATTGCAATTATTATTCAAATTTATGCATAATGAAATGTCCATTAACATGTTTTGTTGTGATCTTTTGAAATTCTGTTTCAGGGATCGTCGTATTATCAAAATTTTTTTGATTTTCTGTTTCAGGAATCATCGTGGATTTAAACTTCAAACTGAAGTATCCACAGCTAATAATAATGTCTCGTTCTAATCTTTCAGGCTCTGTTTCAGAAATCATCGTATAAAGACATCACATATGAAGACCAATAATAATGTCTCTTTCTAATCTTTCAGGGTTTGTTTCAGAAATCTTCATATGAAGACCAATAATAAATAATGTAGTTTTACATAGAATATTAAGTGCGTAAACAAAATGATCGATGGAACTTTTTTCATTCCATCTATCTCGTTCGTTTCAGTTTAAGATGTTCAAACATATCCCGAGTAATTATTCAATCACTTAGCTTCAATTTTTCTCGCTGTAGTTTTATTCGGCCCGCTCACCTTGCGATACAGGCAGGTGAATCGGCCGTCGTGTTTGCGCATTAGTGCAAATTGATTGGATTCCCTAACTGTATTGCCCTCCCGCGTCATACCCACGCTGCACGCTGATCCGTATTACCGTGTCGATTCCATGCGGCAGTCGGAATATCCGGTGTACAGGATCGGTACATTGCGTTGGGATTTTACACCGATGACGATGCGCGATTCCGATTCGTCCATTTTGTTACAGTGTCACAGTTGCGAAAGACCAATGTTTCGTATTCGATCGTGTGCGCCGGGTATGACGTCGGCCTAGTGTGGTGTTCCTGTGGAAGCACGTCGGGCTAAAGGTACATTTATACACCGGGCCCGTATAACGGTTCGACCCGTGGTTTAAATGTGCCGGATCTTCCCGAACGGAGATGACAACGACGTGCGGCTGGAATCCCTGCAACGGGGGGCTGGGAGAAAGGAAACAGACACGTGAACGCGACAGTCGAGTCCATCCTTTTTCATTCTGTGACAATGATCTTTGAATATACGTACTCACCTTTCTGAGAGTAGGTATACGTAGTATATATACCTCCCTTTATCTTTCGAATAAATACTCGGTATATTACCGTTTAGTTCAAGTGGTTTTATATTACTAGCATTGATAGTATTAAGATTATATTCAATAGTATGCCAGTGCATATTACGGTTAATATGAACTCTCTACTATTAAATTTGGAGTATTAACCCTTTCAGATCTGAATTTTCTTTTAAGAGTAAAAAAAAAACATATTTGATTATACACTTTAACTTATGTAGTAAGCTGTTTAGATATTTTTCTAAAAACAAATTTTTTTCTTAAATTTTGGAAAGAAGCTTTGTTATTCAATTCATTGTACCCAAGACTTTGTGTTAAATTGTAAGAAAGTTCATGTACACAAATGTGACCACCAGGTCTGAAAGGGTTAAGAAAGCTCTAAGCTGAAGAACGAAGACATCCGACGAGGGAACTTAGTTTTTTATAGGTTTAGGCTCAAGAAAGAAGTCATCCGTCGAGGGATTTTAGCATCGATAGCATTAGATAATTAACATTTAAGTTATTTGTAAGGTTTATTGTGAAAGGTGGATAGATGCAGAACTTGTGATTCCATCTATCTGTCTTGGGCTTCCACTCGCAGCAACCTCCTCGTGGTGAGGCCCGGGCAATTGGTATTGTCTTCGGTAAAGTATTGTAAAACGAAGATAATATCGAGCTAATGGCTGCGAACGTTGCATTTATTTCGGAACAGCATGTTCTATGTTACAGCGGACTTTTAAGGCGAAGGTAGTTATATGTATATATAAATAATATATAACCCTCTATAACCCCGAAGGCTGCAATAAACGAGCGCCTACCATATGACGTATTATCTAACCTCTATGCAACAACAATATTTCGTTTGCTCCTCATTAATACGTTGTTATTGAGATATCTGACTATTGATTATTATAAAACAGTTCAGGAGCAATTTTTTGGTGCCATAATATTTGTGTAAAAAGGCCATTTACTACCTATTTTGTTAACATATAAATATAACATTAAATATAACAGTGCGATGGGAGTAATTTTAGATTCCAAGGGAGCAAATTGGGAGCAATTTTTTGAGATATAAATCGTTAAGATACGTTTACATTCGGCGCCAACTATTTTCCAGTATGTTAAGTCTATTCTTATATCTCGTCTGTGTCTGTGACTAAACTCTTTCGTCATATCGATACTTCAGTGTGCAATAAAAATAACAGCCAGCAAATTTCTGATTTTTCTGTAATACATACAGCAGAAAATGGACCTATCATCCATTGTTTTTTTTGTGCCACGATCCAGAGATTCGTAGGCTCTGTAACCGAAGAATAATTGGCGCGGAATAATAGTATTTCTTAACAATTCTTATCTTAAAAAATTGCTCCCAATTTGCTCTCTCGGAATCTAAAATTACTCCCATCGCACTGTTATATTTAATGGGATATTCATAAATGAAAAAGCAAAAATTTGTTGTCTGCAGAATAGATAGTAAATGGTCTTTTTACATAAATATTATGGTACTAAAAAATTTCTCCTGGTTTTTTTTTATAATATTCAATGGTCAGATATCTTAGCAACAACTTATTAACAAGGAGCAGTTGAAATAATGTTATTGCATACAGACGTCATACAGTAGGCGCTCGTTTATTGCAACCTTCGGGGCTGTAGAGGGCTAGAATTCTAGGAATATTGCAATAAGGTCAGGCTAGTGATGCCAGAATCGTGGAAATTGGTTCCTCCACTATGACCTACCGGCGTCTCCCACTTTACTTCCACCGTTCTGACACACAAGCATACGAAAGACAACGTAAAGAATGAGGAAACCTTGGAGACGCAATACCCGGCAACCTAAACGCGTGCGGAACAGTCGGGAGACACCGTTCGTATTCCCCACTGTGGCGGTTTTCCTTTTTACATTTAATTATTTTATAATTTCACTTTGTAACCTCATTTTATAATTTCACTCAGTATAGGGACTGCTGACTGAGGAGAAATCTTCCAACCACACCGCCAGCAATAAGATTTTTCCAGGGGTCGGAAACTCTCGCCGAATTTTCGGGTTTTTACGATTTAGTTCCTCGACCAAGGACAGGGCAGTAGGTTGGAAGATTGGAAGATTCCGAGGGTAGAAGGTTTATGGCGCTACGGTAAAAGCCCAAGTTTTTGTAGAGGGGAGTTTCCGTCCCCTGGATTTCTCCCCGCACGGGCCGCAGCGCCGTAACACGCGACGCTCCGTACCCCCGAAGTGGGAGACTGATTACGGGAGCAGTTATGCAGCTCTGGTCTAACAGTTCATTTATAGTGTAGTTGGCATTAGTGATTATAGCGTAAAGTGTAGACTATAGTGTGAAAATTCATATATCATATAATACGTTTCATATTTATTTCTTTTACAATATGTGCTTTAAATTTTTTAAACTTAAGGATCTAGTTATTCCAATTCGTAATAACATAATTATATATTTCTTTTCCAAACATTAATATAACTATTTATTCTATCAAACATCTATGTAGAAATGCCGATAATTTCGAACTAATATATCAACATATTCCATGAACTTTTTAATGTGTATTAACATTATTTATCACATGTTTAATGTTTATTGATGCTGCCTATTGGCTTTCGGAACTCATAACGATTTCCATTAGTAAGAGTACTGTTACTAGCCAATCCATTATAAGTGTTAGTTGATGCCAAGGAACGCAGCACGTTCATTTTGTCCACTAACTTTTGAGAATTCATAGTTTTTTGCTCGGCAAGATTTATCTTTGATGTAGGAACCTTATTACAAAGTCCGTAACGATCCAAACAACTTACTCTATCCTCATTGGCCGTCATTTTAGTTTGAATTTTATTCAATTCTGTCGTATTTTGCGTCTTGTCTTTGGACGTTTTTGAGTTCTTCGAAAATCCCGACCAAAATGAAACGTCGGAATCGATCGACTTGGCAGTTAGAGGTTCTGATTTCTCAGACAATCGGTCCAGAGTCGTTCTGGTGCATCCGCTTTTCGACGCCCTTGGATGTTCCACAGTTCTTCGATGCTCTTCTTGCATTCTCCCATCACCGGCACACGTTTTTAGCGTATCACCGCGATTAAAGCCATAATCGAATATACTTCGTGGAGTTCGAATATTCTTCAAGCTAGCTTCGATCAAATCAGCGAAGTCGAAACTGTCGTCTCTGATCAGAGATTCCTCGTTTATCATTAACACGTTCGTGTTGAGAATCGTCGATTTACTTTGTCCGATTTTTTTTGTTTTTCCCTTTCTGTTTGGTCTGTTTGGATCTAATTGCACAGAATTTGGTGTCGGTTTTTGGGTTTTGGTAGAATTCGTCGATGCCAGACCTCGTGATTTAGCTAGGTTAGGTTTCTTTACTTCCGTTTTAATGCTGGTACTGCTAACTTTCATATCCGTTTTCCGTACTGGGTCCTGCTTTTTCTTGGATTTTGCTTCGACAGATATACCAGTGAGCGGTTTATTGCCGTCGTTTTCACGATTAACTTTGGTTCTTGTCAACACTCCTGATTGATCTCGCATCGTTCTCACAGCCTTTTGTGCATTTGTTTGAAGCGACTTGATGAGTGGAACATTCTTTTCGAAACTGATCTTCTGAGTTTCGATCACTGATCGTTCCACACGAACCTCTGATACCTTTCGTGTGATAGGGTTTTGAATGGTTCTTTTACGAACATCTTCAGATGGTTTTTTCGATGCTTGGTACGTCGACGAAACGGGTCTTGGTGCAATTTTCGGAGGTATATTTGAGATTTTAAATGAGTTCTCAAGTTTTGAGTTGGTTTTCGTTTGCTTCGATGACGGGCGACATCGGGATAACTAAAACCAGGAGTAAAGTATTAATTGAAATAACACAGATAAAAACACCAATTTGAGTTTTCCCCAAAACTTATTTTCTGAAGAGCTCTGCCTGCCTTAACCGCATAAAAATAAAAGTCATCTGTATAATAAATATGAATTTCAACATGCATATTCGAATTATAAATTGCTCATCGTCAAAATGTATCAAAATATTTACCTTCTGTGTATTCATTAGTCCTTGTATTTGTGCCTGCTGGAATAGTTGTTTCCAGGTACAGTTGCCGGATAATTGGTCTGTTCTGCTTGTAAATGACCTATACTTCTTATACAATGTTTCCCATACAAAGTTATCATCGAAGATCTAGATTAAGGACAGTACTCAAATAGCACAAAAACGTCATATCTAAATCCGAAGAACGTACGTTCCGAACGTTCGGTACATTCGGAGGAAGTCTCCAAAAGGTCCAGAGGACCTAGGAAGGTTCTATTTACAAAGTGGAACGTCCTGAGGACGTTCTGTGTCAACATTCTCAGAATATTCCCCAAATGTTTAAATTTAAGGTTAGATTTCATTCTGTGCAAGGTGATAGAACTTAGGCGAGGTTGCTTTTGTGTTTAATAAATAAAAGATTAACTCTCCTCCGATTTCCGCACTTAGTAGAAATTAGGTCAAGTTAGTCCCTGGTAGTAAATAAAAGGTGAAATTTCCTATAAGGAATCATAATGAAAATATAGGTCTCGGGGTTCTGATCTGTGTGTACATTGTTTGTTTTATTTTCAAAGCAAAATACTAATTCTGTGTTGGTTATAAACAGTTTATGAAAAAAATCACTGATACGAAGCAACATACTGATTCAGTGTTGGTTAGAGACAGTTAAAGAAAAAAGATCATCGACTCAGAGCAAAATACTGATTTTGTGTTGGTTAAAGATAGTATAAGAAAAACATGTCTTTTCAAATTTCCTGAGGTTTCATTCAAAATCACTAGTGTCGTTACACTTCTCTATTGATTCTGTAAAGAATGATACTTTGCTCATCCATCACCTTGCACGCAATGAAATTGAGCCAAAATTACTAAACGAAACCATCCGTAATTTAAATCCTACGAACATTCATAAGACTTGAGAAACGGACATTCCTAAAACATGTGAACTTTAGATCTTAAGAACATCCTTAGGACTGTCGGGACGGACGTTTCTACAACATCGAAAATTTAAGTCTTGAAAATATCCGTAGGACTTTTGGGACGTACGTTTCTAGAACATCCGAAATTTAAGTCTTCGAACATCCGAGGGATGTTCAAAATGGACGTAGAACATTTCGATATAAACTATACATGAAACGGACGTCCTTTGGATGTACGGTGTTGTCTGGGTACTATATAAGAAAACATACAATTGGCATTGAATTTGTTTAATTTATGTTACCTCTTTGGACACGTGCGACAAGGATGTCAAATTGGCGACGTCTTTCACATTCAAATAGTTAACCAACTTTCCTATCAAGCTTCGTGGCAACGTTAAAAGTGTCTTTTTTCGTCCTGAAGTGATGTTTCTCACGTGTTTCAGTAAATGTATGCCTGATAAATGTAAAACCATTCATAGTCTAAAGAAAAACATACGATTTCAAACTCATATAGTAATTACAGGAATTGTAAGCACAGTGCATCAAAATTGCGACTAATAGTCTTTAATAGTGAATGTTCACTGATTATTTTTCTGGGACCCTGTACAAATTAAACAAAACTTAAAAATTCCGGTCATAAATTGAAATAGTGATTTCATCTTGAATCAGTTGACGCGTATTGAAATAACAGTTCAGTTAGGTTAATTGTTTAAACGTCAGAATGAAATCATCAAATACTCTTTCTATTCGCTGTGAATTCGAATAAAATTATGGTCATCTCTGTTATACAGAGTATTCCAGGCATAATTTCAATATTTCAGAGAATGCTAGAGGTGTATAAATGTACCAAGAAATATTCTTCAATATACGCGCAAATAATTCACAAAAGTTTGGCATTAGCTTCACTGCAACTCTGACAATATCTGCTAACAAAATTGAAAGTCTCAACAATGTCATTATTTGTACGTCAAAAGTAACTTGGTATCGATGGAACGAATGTTAACATATTGAACCATAGTGTATATTTTATATTATGTTTATAGCTTTTAACAAATGTAAACTATCTACCACAAACTAACTAGATCAGGTGTAAGATAGCCATGTTGGTTTTAACTTCATCTGTCCAATGCTAGGCTAAACTATGAGTTGTTTAACCCTTTTCAACTAAAAAACTCTTATCACGGATTCAATTCAAGTACACGTTTGCACCGTTAACGCCTTACAAGCGTTCAAAAATTACTGTTAATACATCTGTGTTCAGATGGCAAAACATGATATGTCGAATTTTCGTTAAAATTGAAATACTTGAGGGGTTTAATTAAATTGTTTAAAGATACGTCATGAACGAGTTGACTAAACTTAAATTAACAACCACTGTATACAATCGCTAATAAAAAGTTGTATTTCTAAGAACATTAAAATTGCTGTTCTGTAAAATTTAGAAAACCGCTCGTATCACATATTGCTATCCGACTACAAATATTCTTATGTTACGAAGTAACGCTAGTTGATTTAACGGGGTTATTTAAAGACTGAAAATTTCAGGCTACCGAAAGCACGTCGGATCTCGTCTTGCAGATGCTTGTCTTGATCGAAATCGGCGAAACTGGAGGTTCGTACGAGGGGCGTTTTGTGAGGACCATGGGAAATTTTCCAAACGTATAAGATCACCTAAGAAAGGCGTGTGAGGTCAAGGGACAAAATCCAACGAATGATATTTCTTCGTAAACACCTTGTCACGAAGTACTTTGAGACCGTAGTAATCTCTGCTAGGTGAAGGTGCCACCGAATACTTTTCCAGATACTCGATCTCACCACTCATACTCGATGCATCCGAATCGAAGGGACGCCCATGTTGCGTTTGAAGTTTTATCCGTCATGACATACTGACATGAATAGCGTTACGATTGTAAATACAACAAAATGGAAGTACTCAGTGCTATTTTCAGTTTTCAACGGAAAGTTTTCTTGTAAATGTTCACAGCTAAGTAGCCCTCTCGATATATTTTTTTGTATATGTATATTGTTGACTTTTTCTGTTAGTCATTTATATGTTTTAATAATATATTTTTTATCATCGTAACATTATTTCTACCAATTCATATTTAAAAATACAATTTACGTAATATGTTTGCATTTGCAGTTTCATCTGAAACGTACTTGTAAAAAATTCTTGAAATGATACGAGTCTTTTGCTAATAATCATGATATAAATTATTACGTTCGAAATCATTTTATTGTATATTCAAAATATCTATTAGAAACGTATACGTATATACTTACAAATTATATCATATTGGTGTTCTTCCAACACTGTTAAATAATTTATTTTTAGTTCCTGAAAATCTCGTGACAGAGATTCTCTAAAACCTTTGAAACAACCTACTCTGAACAGAATTAATTATTACATACTACTATGTATAAAATCAAATACGTTTTGCATTGATTTTGTACATCTCTCTATTAATTAACTGTGTGAATTTCATTTTTAGTTTCGCCTTTTTAATACAATTATTATATAAAATAAACATAAATTTTTGTTTTATAAGGTTCTAGTAGATTTTAACATAAAAACTCCTAATATAATTAGAGGTATAAGTTACTAATTAGAAATAAAACAAAATTTGTATTTTTCATAATTTCTAATGTATGAATAAGAAAGTCAAAACTAATAACTAACGAGTAATAGTGAATGTCGTTTGCTTTAAAATGCTATTTGTCTTTGTTTCGTGACATCTGTCTAAAAGTCAGAGATTAAAATATGATCGGTAAGAAAATAATTTTCTCGGTTACGAGATAATTCAAGTTTGGCTGCGGAGAGACAAATAAAAATCATGAGACATTCAGTTTCGTGATATTTTTATTACAATAATTCCATATGAAGAGATGAAGATAAATATAGAAATGTTGAAGTAAAAATGGAAAGTTGTGTGACATTACATACTATTTTGTAATGTATGTTATAACAATATATAATAGGTAGGCTATACAGTAATATCACAATGCATGATTCACAACTTCGTATAAGTCTAGAGAAGAGAATATAAATCTAGGACAACGGGCACTCGATCCGTCTGTTCGATCTTCCGTGACAACGAGAAATCGGTGCTCGTTTATATCAATTAGAAAACGCGATGAAAAAAAGTGCTTTCCAATTCATTTTCCTTTACTCCTATACGTTTTCGAGAATCGGAATTACGTTGTGTATGATAGTCGAGTTTAATGCCAATTCGTTAACAATTTTCGTTATTCGTTCAATAATATAGAATTATCGGCGACGCTAAAAGCTAATAGTGGTGTAGACAGTGCTTTTGTAGTAATAGTACTCATCTTAACCGTAGTAGTAATAAGAATAGTAATTAATAACAATAGTAATGATCAATAATCGTGACAACAGACGCGTTTACGATTTTCCTTTTCTTTTATGTAGGTTTGATTGCAAAGATTGATATGACGTTCCTAACACTTCGGACGATCGCTATGTCTCGGATGACACTTAAAAAACCGCATGAAAATAAATTACTATACGCTACCGTAGTCGAAAAAGTCTTATGGACGACGGAATAAACTTAATGGCTCGTATTCATAACACTGTATTATCACTAAACGATACACCTTTCTTTCTGGAGTATCTCGATTTTCAGTGAACTTAATCGCAAATTGTCGAATATTATCTAACGATACATTTGAACATGTCTTAAATTCGATTAAAGGAAGCCAAAGATGAACAATACGTTACTGAAAATAGTAAATAAAGAAAAGAAAACGATAAAAAGCAATCTATTATATTTGTTTGCACTCGTGAGATTAGGCAATTGTTCGGATACGCTTACATTCCCATAATTTACTTTCCGTCGTTACACAAAGAATAACGATTAGTAACTTTTTATTCATTTCTTATTCACGATTCGAAATTTATTACCTAGATAGAAATATTGCCCATTTCTGATAAGATTAATATAAATATCAATTATATTATTTTTTTTATAATTTTGATTACAAATATAGTTCATTTGGCGATTGTCTATGTTGTTAAACGAATCTTCTTATTATCTTATTAGAATCTTTAACGGATTTGATAGTGTGGGACGTGTTGAACATCAACGACTATATATTTCGGTTGTGTTCCTAGGATGAATGTTTATGAATAAATTGTATTCCGTTAAGAAATATAAAGGAGTATAGTTTGTTCTATTAGAGCGTTTTGAATACAGGCCGGACAGTATAAAAAATTGAGTTCCATGCCACTGCAAGTGCGTTTCGCCGCACACGCACTGGTTGTTGTTGTAAACACCTTTCAGACAAATATATATGGCCGACTGTGAGTGGCTGAGAGGAATTAAAACGTTCTTCCATCAAAAAAATCATTTTTTCTTTCTTCTAGTTACTTGTTCGCTACATTCTTCGATCCATAAGTTCTCAGCAGCGAAAGAATTGAATGAGAAAATATATTATAAAAAAATGTTTCGGAGAAAATATTCAGAACGTCAGATGTTCAAACTTTGAAATAAAGATTAAAGCTGCAGAATAGACACCATATAAAATTAAAATTTTCGATTGATACCCAAATCATAGTGAGAAGTCTTCGATACGTCCACTTAAAATTTTCTAGATGGTACAATACAAAATTTTCAAGCATTTTGAAGTTTTCTTATAGTTTGAAAGTATTGATAGCTTTGAAAACGTTGACATGATACCGTTCATTTTTACTTCTCTATTATATTTCTTTAAATATCTATTAAGTCTTCTGTAAACGTTAAGGCATTTAAGATCTCCAATGAAATACTTAGTTGAAAATGTTTCGAAGCGAAGTCAATTTTATCACCACCAATTGATATTCTGGCAGCTGAACACTTTAATGGTTTTCATTATTTACTCCAATTGATTCTATTCTTAACACAATCGGAACAGATACGAAAACATTCAAATATAAATAACGTACGTGACGTATATATTTTCAGATTCTCCGACGATTCTCCTCTTAATCACAATGCTGGTGTTTCGATCCTTGTGTACTTGATTTAACCCAAAAAGGGAATATTCATGTTTAATAATCAGGTGTAATAAAAAGTGCATGGAAAAAATTCTATACGAATAATTTATGCGTATTACTATATAGACATGAAATAAAGCATTATAGTAGTTCGAGGGTAATTTTAGGTCAATATTACCCAACCAGTACCTATGTAATAATTATTCGAACAGTACACAAGGATTAAACATTGAGTAATGGTCTACGTCACAGCGGATTCGAGGAGAAGTATATCTTCTGACACGACACAGAGAACTTGCCACAGCTAAAATATTCTTTCGTTCCAAGACAAGACAAGCGCCCTTCATCCTCCTATAAACGTTTTGTTCTCAGCCTACCCACGATAAATACAACATCCTCGTCGCTGTACCACCTAATATGAGTATATATCCACGCGATTCAATTACAAGGTAAAAAACTTCAAGACGGGTACGATTTGAAACGTAAGCATAAAACGACGTGCGTACCTCTGATTGCAACGTATTGCATGCTTCATGTACGTGTATACATAAATGTGTGTGTATACATATAGAATATATGTATATAGAATATTCTGGAAGAACAGATTTGCGTATTGCAACAGCGCAAAGAGTACCGTGACGCCTTACCGAGGCGAACGATAACTTTTACCGTCTCGGATATGTGACTTTCTGAATCGCCCCCGTTTTGGTCGAATAATCAGTGGTTATTTGCCTTATATTCCCAGGATCCCCGTTCTTCTATTTCTATTACTAGCTGAGATTTTCACGTGTGTCAAACACGTCTGTTACAAAAATCCCTAGATCAATCTCAATTGGATCCATATACAGTGAACTCTCACTATATTGCCATTAAACATATTGCCACGCAAAGCACTTCCCCTTAACACGTACTTTCGAGCACACAAATTCGCTCTCCCACCATATTGCGTACGCCGGCGCACCAGCACGATTTAGATTTCGCGCAGGCGTGAGGCCGAGGCTATGACGATAGAACTTAGCATGGAGGGGGCTCTGAACTGATTGCCATTTTACTCCCCTACAACCCCGAGTATGACAATATAGTTACAGTCCACTGTACAGGCTCTTAAAAGTATTCGAACGTTTAATGCCTAGAAGAACAAGTAATATCGTAATGAAATTCAAAGTTTGAAATTTCAACCCTCTTCAGTTCTGTGTAAATGCAAAACTTTTCAGCGAGGAGACATATGTCAAGTACAAATTGACGTGCAACATTCTTGTATTCACGATATCTATGACAAAACCTTCCTTTTTACTGGACTGTATCAAGCTTCAGACTTAGAACTATACATTTTTTGTCAATTTATGTAATGTTAACTAATTGAGATATATACTTATTTTGGATAATTCACCGTTTTGGTACGCAGTACTGCTTAAAAGTTTGGGGTCACATGCTGAAGGAGTATGGAGTTTTTGAAGAAAAATACGTAGAGAGGTAGGATCAACTTTTTCACCAAAAAGACGTACTGGTATCTTCCACTATGCCAATATAGCTACAAACAAAATTTGATCGTAATATCTCTCTTTCTCATGTTCTACATATCTATCTAGTATTGTACTACGTAGAATTCGATGCTTTTTCACAACATAGTGGTAATTGAAATTGTCGCAAATAAAAGGTTTATAAATACATCTTTCTAATTTTCTATTGTTATTCCAGTCAAATATATACTAATAATGGTCTAAATTATGCGAATATATATTTTTATATACTACCAATTCAATGGAAGATAATATGGATAATATATCCAATGGATTACCCAGTACGATTACGGAATCATGATATTGCTAAAAGTAATGAAACACTGAAATGAATTATATTATGTCCTATCAACCCGTTAGCTTCGGTGGAACTGACCAGTGAGCTATACTGCCGTACCGGCAGTGCTGCCGTGGAGTGCGAAACAAAAGAGGAAACAATGGCTTTAGAAGCAAGAAAACAAGTGAGCCGCTATAGTGGCCCTTTGTTACAAAAACATCACTCAGAGGGTAGCCATTATAATGGTGCTTCGTTCCAAAAAATGGTTTAACGGGAAGTCACTTATAGTGATGCTCAGTAGCTAAAGGGTTGAATGTTTCGAATATAATCAATGATCCCAAACTTTTGAGTAATAATGCGAAATAATTATATTTCCCTCAACTTGTTCTTAAAAGGAAACTATCGAAAGTATTTAGAACACTTATAAGACGATTTCACGAATATCTTGAACGTAGCGCTACGACGTTATCCAATGAAATATTGAAAAGAATATTTCCAATCCTTTCAAGCAGACACTATCCACCCTCAAAGTTCCAACTACTATAACGACGAAATTCGCCGGCTAAGATCTGTTTTATCCCCCGTACAAGCTACTCCCCACTGTCGTTCCTAATTGCATTATCGTTCCATCGATAAGGCGCTCGGATGCGTAAATTTAGCGAGTACCGATTGTACTCGAATTAAAACGTAAACAACGGGATTAAGTATATGAAGAGAAGATCGGAAGCCGAGGCTGGCTGAGCCTTGTGGGTTTTCGCTCGTCCCGTTTCCGAATATTAAATATCGAGTAAAAAGTGGCAATTCTTCGATAACCTACTTCGCAAGTACTTTGTACATCGAGTGAAAGTCTAGTCTCCTCCCTTTGTTCACCACGGCGTTGTAACGGTTTTTACAAGAATACGTCCACCGAAGGAGACGCATCCTTGTTTTAAGACTGCTGCACAACGGAGACCGTCGTCTCCGTGATGCCACCGCCGTCGCGGCATATGCTGGCGGAAGTGGGCGTCTCTTCCGACGGCGCCGGTGCGACCGTCAACTGTCTTTGCTCCATGTGATCGAGGGTCTTCTCGATGGCCCTCAGTCTCTTCTCCAGACTCGTCGTGCCGAGAATACCCACTTGGAGCTGAGGTCCCAACGGTAGAATCGCCAACAGCCACCACGTCCACGAGGGACCGTCGGCTAGACGAGGCCAATCCTCCTCGGTGTCTGGCATGCAACCGAACACCCGCTGGATCTCCGATTGTTGTGACGATGGCACCGTTTCCCACCATCTCCTGCCCTTCGCTCGTACCTGCAACCATGATTTGGTAGGTTGAATGTGGAATTAAATTATTCAATTTTTCACATTTTTACAAGGTTACCACGTTCGCTACCATCATATGGTTCCAAAAATGTTCGTCACAAACCACTCTATAGATCGTCACCGTATTCAATGAGACGGTGTTACTTTCTTGATTAGATATTAAGAACACGTAAAACAGAGATAATGAATAACAGAAGATATAGGTGAATATTGCAAAATACATACTGCTTCTACCATATAAAATATACTGACTCAGAAATTGTAGCGTCACACATAGGTATGTGACGCCTGGTAGTGAACGTGTTAACCCACGTTTAGAGCCAGGACTTATTGATCTCCTTTTGTATTTCCGAGGATTAACTTCTGAGGATTACTTTCTTTGGATTTTAACTTGTTTCTGAGGATTAACTTTTGAGGACTAACTTCCGAGGATTGTAACTTGTTTATGAGAATTAACTTCTGAGGATTGTAACTCGTTTCTGAGGATTAACTTTTGCGGATTGTAACTCGTTTCTGAGGATTAATCCCTGAAGATGGACGTTTTTAATTGACGAGTAGACTGCGGTATCTGGGTCCAGATATTGCTCTACTCATCTGTTTTTAGATGTGCTTTAGAACGAATTTGATAAAAATAAGCTCATTTTCTAACACAAAGTTATTATAAATAATTATACGCTGTAGTTAGTTTCTGTAAGCTGATGTAGTGCGTACAGTTGTCCGAGGTTTGGAAACTCTCGTTTTCAGAAGCGAAATTTTACGTAATGTCGTCGTAAACAAACTTGTTTCCTTCATTGTGGGTTTTATTAAGTTAAAAGACCATGAGAAACTTATTAAGTTCTGTTGCGAAATCTATTTTATTTTTCTTCAATCTTTCACATAAATTATATGTATAATTTATTACAAACAGTTACAACAGTGAAATTTTTCAGATTTTGTATGAATCTCAATTTTGGAATATTAATCCGTATGATTTTAGGGACTTATCAGGTTGATTTACAGGTAAATCTACATCACTATTTGCTAGTTCTAGTGTTAAAACTATCAACACTTTGTACAGAGGAAAATATTTTCAATAATGCAACTCCGTTGTCGTGGAAAAATTCCAATTTCATTTGACATGTTCTTAGGGAAGGAATTTAAGACAGAGTAGAGAAATATTTTCAACATAATGTATAGTTTGCAAGAAACTCATCGCGTCGCGTTACGTTTTCTGAATTTGAAATGTTGATAAAATGTAAGATGCAACTATGCATACATTCAATAAAAGGTTTGGGGCAGATCGTGTCGAGAAATTGGATTGTCACGAGAACAGATTCTTTGAAATAGTAAAATACTGATTAAAATTGATTGAAACAGGGTTTCACTGTAAATTTCTTACCTTGTCGTGCAATTCTAAGAGGCTCAACAGTTGGTCCTCCTGTACCATCGTGTCCCTGAGGAATTCCACTTGAGCGGTATCGTAGCCATCCCTTTCGCCCCCAGAGATCACCCTAAATCTCCTTCCCCCGACTGTACTGAGAATACTGCAACCGTCTTTCAACAGGACTCTGTCCCGAATCTCGAGCATGGTGCCATATTCCGCGTATCTAAAAGATCCGTAAATACTGAATCACACATTACTGAACATCGATTCATCTATATTATATGTATACTCGCGAGCAAACTCGGCTTCCGCTAGGGGAAAAAGTGACGTAAGAGAAGGGCCTTCTACCACTTGATAAATTTATTTCAAGTATTTAAACAAATGTTAAACCAAAAGTTTATTCGGCATAAATTTCAGTAATTTCCAATACCAAGTGGTACGAGCATGGTAGAAGGCCCTTTCTCAACACTGCTTTTTTCCCTACCGGAAGCCGAGTTTGCACGTCAGTGTACATCCGCGAGCAAACTCGGCTACCACTAGGGGAAAAAGCAATGTAGAGGTTAGGGCTTCCGACTACTTGGTAAATTTATTTCAAATACTGAAATAAATGTTAAACCGAATGTATATTTCGTATAAGTTTCAATAACTTCGAGACCAAGTGGTAGGGGACCCTTTCTCTACGTTATTTTTTCCCCTAGTGGAAGCCGAGTTTGCTCGTGAGTGTACATGCATAAAACTAGACACTGTCTTTCTAACGCAACGCATAGTACCATACAGTACTTATATCTGTCTGATATCGTTTCACGAAGTATAAGTAATACCAAACGTTGATACAAAATATCGAAAATTTCATTTAGTAGGTACTTTGGTATGAAATTGTTCAAATATCATCAATACATATCGGTACAATCATAGTTGAATAATCATCTTTTCGTGGAATGGTAATAAAACGGGGTGGGGGTGAATAAAGTAAAAATGTTTTCCGAAAATAAGTGATAATAAAAGTTTAGATATAAGTGTCATATTAGTAAAGTATAATTTAATTGTAGGGTTGAACGAAACAAAGGTACGAATGAAGGAATGGCAAATCTTGTCCTGTGAGCCAAATCCTACTCGTGCAGGTAAAAATTGATAATAAATAACAATAATAATCACCTCTTCGTTCCCGTAGCCTCCCTGTTCAGACACGCCGCGATCCCGAATTGACGAACACCGCTCTCGACGCATCTTCTGACCATCAGCCTGTATCTGGGCTCGTAGACAAAGAGGGGACACGCGACATAAGGGAATGCTGTGGTACAGACGAACACCGCGATCTGTTCACTGTCCAGAAGACCGAGACCCTGTGCGAGTTCTAATCGGTGGCTGGCCGACCTCGAGGCATATTCCGCCGGTGCCACGGTCTTCAAAGCCCTCTCCACAAAGTCCGTTACCGTCTTCTGGCTACTGGCCAAGTACTGAAAAGTTAAAGGACACCTCGGTAAGTCGACCAGAAGCCTCGTCTCGTCCTCCAGAGAACCTTTCGATCGGAAAGATTCCGCCAACGAAATTCGTGACTTTTACGTACGCTATCCATCGATTCCCCTTTGACCCTTGAAGGCAGAATCCCCGGAAACTATCATTAATAGACTGCAGAGGTTTATGCAAATTCATGGCTTTAGACAGTAATTTATGAAAGACGAAATTTCACGAGATTACGTACACTACTGGCCAAAAGTATGGAACCTGAGCTCATGATTGATTGAACGGTAACTTATTATTCTGTTACGATATAATGACAATCACGGAATCAGTACATATACGTAGAAACTATTTCCAGTCAGTTTTAGCACATTACTTTTATCAAATCTTTGTGGAATAATATTTTTCTTTTTTTTAATTATCGGAGTTGTTCGGTGGTGTATCCAGTATATCATGCGAATGTTACGGAAAACATATTAAAGTCTTCATTTCAATGTGTTTAGCGGACAACGAAGTGTAATAATGGAATAAACATCCGGAGTGCAGCCATTAATCATGAAGCAAATGATCAGCAGTGTCAATTATGTAGATTTTTTTTATAGCTAATGTTTCTCTTCCTTGGTTACTCGATGTTGAACGTTTATATAAACTCCTAATTTAATCGATTAATTTTCGAGATCGTGAATTATACATATAGAATTATAATATAGGAATCGTATTGGATCTCACTCATTTACATTACACAATTATTTTAAATGTCCAAAAATTCGCAATCTAGTGATGAAATTATTTGATCTCCACTTGTTCAGATTTACACTATAATTGTGCTCGCATAAATTAATAACTAGACTGCCGAAGTTTATGCAAGTTCAGAATTTCCGATATCAGTGTCTAAAAATTTATGAGATAGACCAGAAATTTGACTATCTTACTAGAGGCTTTACTATGTTAATATTAACACATAAGTAGTATTAAGCTTTATTGAAAGCTTTATTTTATAGCCTTTTCCAAATTAAGGGTCGCAATAAATGCATAAACATCCGCAGTGTAATAATAGCTATTTCATCTTTATATTATTTTCTATGCATGTGCAGTAACGTATATGCGCGCAATTATTACATAAATATATTCACGTATAAAATTAACGTAACAATTTTTCTATAACGTGTTTTTTTTCTTGTCTACACTGCATTATCCTCTTAACTCTCGTATTCGAAACGGTTTAACCAAAAAGAGAACATTAGCTTTTAATAGTATTCTATCTTTTGAAAATTAAAAAATAAATGTTACGTAAACGATTTATGTGTACAGCGTGTAATACTCCTGTCATTTCGTCCTAACTGTTGGTTCATCTTACTACAGATTGCATCGATCTAACGCTCACTTGAACAAAACACTGCTATCAAGAAAATACACGACGAAGTAAATACAAGAAACGAACAGTGCTTAATAATGGACACAAAGAAAAAAAAATCCATGAAAAGATAAAAGATTGTATGCCGCAAAATTTCTTTAACGTCATTAAAGACGATGCTAAGCGAGAGACAATTGCTGATGACGCCACGAACGCGGAAGCTGCCGACAAACTGGCTTGGTCACCACGAACAATAATCATTTCAATCTGCAAGATTGTTAACCGCTAGGAAGTATTATATCTCATTTATGAACAGGTGTTGCTCGACGTTCAACGGGGGTTATCGTGTTCCACGGAACGTCGTTTGGGATTAACGGATCGTGACTAACGAGATGCCTTTAAAGAGTCGAGACATGACTCGACGCGAAAAATCCGTGGAATTTGTCGACCGAGAAAACGGTACGTTAACTTTGAACGGTACGTAAAACAATAACCGAGGATTGATATGTGACGTTAAGATATTCGGTTGTTCGGGAAATTCGCAGTATTTCTAAGGACAGAGCTAGGTATATTTTATATTTCTTCTATTCATATTATATTCTCAGTTACTAATTTTTTTCAATATTAAAATTAATATTGTGCGACTGGAGAGAAATCTGAAGTGGTGAGAACTCGAAAACAAGACTTTGATTTGATATTTACTTGATGGTGTTTCTGTTAATTTTCGTGATAGACTCAATTTTTAAAAGTTGGAAGCGTCTTGAGAATTTACATTTCTCCCCGATTGGCGAAAGTCTCTGTCAAACGTGTTTACTACAAAACAAATTATAATTGGTTGAGTCCTGAAGGAGGAAGAAGAATTCTTGGGTTTTCCAAGTTGGTATGGTGGTGGAAATCATTTCTTGACACCATGGTCTAGAATAAAAATTTAGCAGCTCAAAGGGTCGAAAACAAGTTTCTTTTATCTTCAAAAAACTCGCATCAATTTATTATTAACCATGGAAGATTTGTTCCATGCATTATTGTTCTCCGCGGATCCTTTTGTATGATCAGTTTCAGTAAGAAAACAAAAAATAGAAGAAAGTCCCCTACACATTCAGACTTTCATGAAGGTTTTAAGAATACTGTTACTGAGTGATCACGTTATCGAAGAAGATTTCCAAAATTGGTAGAAATTTGTTCACTTATCTACTTCGATTCATACTAAATTATAAGTTTCAAAATTTTTTATATTTTGAGCTAAATAACCGTATGAGCTACAGTATTTTGATTCTGGACCGCTGTATTTCAGGGCGAACGGTACGCGAGAAGCTAATTCAGCATATGGTCAAGATTTTTTGTGACCACGTCGATTTAATGAGTGTCCCTAACGATACGGTTTTATGACCGTATTGTTCCGCGAGTCGACGGTAGGAACCAACATACATATATGTATATATACAGGGTGTAACAAAAATGTTGTCCGACCTGGAAATAGGGCACTCGGGAGGTGAATTGGAACAAGTTTTTCCTTAGCAATAATGTAATCTGAGGCTTCGTTAGGAAGATATTAACGAAAAACCCCGACCAATCAGAGTGCGAGTCTGCGAGCCTAGTTCCCACGTAACGCTCCCTACCAGTCTCCCCAAGTTACCTTTGTTCCAAAGAAAAACCTTGTTTCAATTCCCCCCCCCCCCCCGAGTGCCCCATTCCCGGGTCGGCCAACATTTTTATTACACCCTGTATATTATATACGACACAGATTGTAGATCAAATATTGGAAATCGTTGTTTATTGCTTAACACTGAAAGATATCCAAAATGCGTAACAGATTTGGAAAAGTCTAATGATCATACAATTCTAAAGAGGCAAAACAGATAAAACGATTAGGAAAATATTCTAGCGAAAGACCAACGAATTTAAAGATATATGGTCTCTTGGTTCCACAACGGAATATTAGCCGCTGCTATTAAACAATAAATTGTACGACGCAACAGCTACTTTAGAGATAATTCAGTAGTGCGAAAGGTTAACGTTCAAAGGCATTATCGTTTGCAGAAGAAAATACTACTTACATCGGCGAGAGACGTGACACACAAAGGACAAGAGGAGGAATAGTCCAAGCATCGGTCCAGACACATCCAGCAATACGTGTGGCCGCACGGCGTCGTTACGGGTTTCCATAGGAGTCGACAGCACAGGATACAGTCCAACTCACCAGCTGTACCACCAGAAAGAGGCGGCAACAGAATCTCCGCGGGTCTCGCTTCAAGCCCTGGGAAAGATAACGTTTTCATTCATGATCATTGCGTTCGAATGTGATGAAACGTCAGATTAATTCTGGACAATGAAGTATAGACTACAAAGGTTTATACAGGGTGGGGCGCTAACTATTACCACCTCAGATATCTTCGAAACTATAATGTTCACAGAAATATTTGTGTAACCATAGTTGCACAATACGAAGAGAGCCATCCGATGGCGCTAATAGTTTTTTTGCAGGTGTACTGTAATTTACTTTGGATATTTCAAGGTCACCTCTATGTTTTTGGACAGATCGGTATGTTTTTATTCCCGTAGAATGATAGAGGAGCTTAAAACGAGCTCAACGACCTATTACATAAGGTCATTGAAGATCATAGAAAGTAGAGAAACGTGATAATGCCTACGGTTTACTTCACTGACAATAAACACTGTTTGAAGAACACTTTAATAAGTTTGCTGATTAAGATAAACATAATAAGAATAGTATCGTATCGGTTAACCGGGCACGATGTATCCGTTTGAAGAGCAAGTCGATATGCTTCTTATTTATGGCGAATGCCAATAAAATTCTGTAAGAGCAAAAAACTTATATGCTGCACGATATCCACATCGGTGTCAGCCTTCACGTCGAGCATTTAAACATGTGTGCGATAAATTTAGGCAAACTGGTAGTTTAAGTGTTCGTAAAAGTGAACGCCGAAAGCGAGTAACGAACGAAGAAAATGAAATCGGTGTGCTCACAAGTGTGGCTACAAATCCTGATATTAGTTCTCGACAAATTGAACGCAAATCTAGCATTAGTAGAAGGAGCGTACTTCGCATTTTGCACCTTCACAAATTTCATCCGTACCATGTTAATCTTTACCAACAATTGTAGGGGGAGGCGAACGACTTCATGAATCGCGTTGAATTTTGTCGATGGGCTAAACATCAGATCCAAAACAATGAGTTATTTCTTAATATCGTTTTATTTACTAATGAGGCAACACTCACAAATCACGGGAATACTAATTTGCATAACATGCATTTATGGGCTGCGAAAAATCGACATTGGCTACGGCAGGTTGAACACCAGAGACAATGGTCTGTGAACGTATGGTGTGGTATCACAGGTTATAAAATTTATCCTCGTAATATCATTTATCATATAAGTCCACATTTTATCAATGGAAATTTGAGTTATTAATTCAAGTTATTAATTCTTGGAAATGCGAGCGAAATACGCGTCAAATACGTCTGGCGCAATTGGTTATACTATTTACAATAGTTGATTCCCAGCTGATACAGGGTCGATGATCTGGTTGAATTTATGAATGAAATAAAATGAAATTGAATGAATGAAACTATTTCCTGAAAAAGTTGAAGAACGTGTCTCTCAAGTCGAACAACCTGTCGTTTCGAAATTATTTCACGAGTATTTAAGCTTCGAACACAATTTCGGTATTCATGATTTTTCATGGTCTTACAATTAGTTATTAGTTCGGCATGTAGAATCCAGCCTATGAAAGTGTGCCATATTTTTATTCACACCCTGTATATGAATTGACGAAGTTAGAGATGGCAATTTATTTCAAATAAAGTATTATAAATGTATGCATTGTTATCTACATTGTGAATTGAATATAATTTTATGATAAAACCATTCCTTTTGCGATACATCTAATAGATTTCGTGACAGTAAATTCGATTTATCTTTTAAACATATCTTGTATATAGTAGTTTCTGGAATTATAAGCGCTTACTTTTCATCATTAACTTTTTGCAGTGAAATCTTTTATCCGGAAGAATATGCATATTCCAAAACAATTTTTATTTAGCAAATTTTGAATTTTTTAATGCACTAGGATGAAGATTACAACATATTCTTTAAACATCATTATAACGTTAGTGCGCATTAAAAAATGTTTTTTTTTGTGCTTTCTTATAACCGCAGTTGAGGATTCGTTTATCAATGGTACGTATTCAATCAGACATATCTTAGTAAATGTACATACAGTTATTAATACGAAATGTCAGATAAAACGTAATCGGCTAACCTTTCCAGGCGGTCATTCAGTTCTCATGAGAAATTGACGTTTATTTCAAGGATTACCGACCTAGCCAACGTAAAAAATGTGAAGTATTTTACATAGACTCTTAACCCCATTAAAATACATTTTCTCTTAAGGTAATATGTACTACTTTTTTATAACGCACTGTATATATGCAATACTACAAACAAAAGTATACTTGAATGAATAAAATTATTCAACAATGAAATGTATATTAATTATTCATACTCAGGCGAAACCGTAAATGACATTATTAATGTTATGAATAATGCATTTACTAATCTGTAGTAGTTGTCATTACGGTAGTATTCATTATTGTAACGTTTTATTACAATGATTAATATGCGATGGAACTGTTTTAATAATTTCTTACTATTATTCACAATTAGTTATGTTACAATGTGTACTGCAAATAGAACGCTATAAGCTGTAGTAGACAATAGTTCCAGTCTCACCAAATAGTTTACTTTATGTATGTCAAAATACCACTACTATTTAGTTAGTTTTCATTTGTACCAGAAATTAAATTAATTTTGTTCTATTCTCTTATTAAATTGATTCTCATATACTTTATTTATTTGTCTTACGAAGCGGTCTTCATATCTGTATAATTATATTATTCGCTATATTCGTATGTTAAACTAAATTATGATTTCATAAAAAATTAGCGTACATTGCCAGATCTACGATTGGTTATAATATACGAATCAAGCAAAACGTATAAACATGCAAATAACTAAAAGTAAAAGTTATATTCAAGTATATTCAAAATGGCGACTAGTGGCGAAATCAAAATTTCTGTACTTCTTTTCATTACGAATTAATTCGATTTTTTCAAACGTCTGTCTTTAAAATACTGTATGTAAATGCAACTTACTTTTCAATTTTTCTATATCTTGATATACTCGATCCAAGCCGGCCTGCAGCTTGGTATTGTTTTGTGGCACTGCGGTCGACAGGAGTCTCCTGCTGATAGTCTGCAATAAATGAACAAGCACAGTTATAATTGGTTTAGACGCGAACTTTAATCTGAAATTATTAGGATTGACACGATTAGAGCTTCCTTTTTCTGAAATTCAGTTCGTCTTTATTTCCTATGGTACGCCGTGAGGTTGTATAAGATTTAAAAGATCGCGTTACGTAACCTAGAAATCTCGTAGAAACCGAATTTCTCAATAGCGTTTTAATAATATTTTACTATTTCATAATTATATCCTTGTAAGAGTGTTGTCAATGGTTTGACATTATTCTTACAATAAAAATGGGATCTACAAAATTGAAAATTTTTTTAAGAATATGGAATACGCTAGTGATTTGTATAATTATTAGGCTCATTTTGATAACAAAAATTTACTGTAATATATCAATTACAATAATTGTTACTTATAAGTATACAAGAAAAAATTATAAATGGAAATTTTTAAAAACCCACCTAAGAATCGAGTCAGGATCAACAAACATCTCAATTTTATTAATGAAAAAAATAGTACAGTAATGGCAGTCCGCTTCAATAAGATTCAATCAAAGCGTTAAATTTCTCCCTCATTTATCATACAATTAACAATTTTACCGATCTTATGTCATTATAATTTAGCTTACAAAGTAAAATGATTAACAAATTTATTCACGTAAAGCTGTCTCATTTATTTGACCAAATTACGTATCAAATAGCGAATTATAATTCCAAATTAAAACAAATTTATCACGTAAAAAGTATCAAAATCAAGGTAATGAATGAGTACACAAATAAAAATTGCTTACAAATTTTTACACTCAATTGTTAGATGATAGCGAGTGTCACTGTATGTGTAACCACTTCTAAAAGGCTTATTTTTAAAATTGTCGATTTTTATTTATTTTATTTTTAATTAATCAGAACTTGTAACAGGAAATCCGATTTTACCTTGTAAAAAACTATACAAAACAGTTAGAAGAGTGAAAAGATAATTTGAATGTTATGTCATTAGATTTTATAAGGAAACAGTATCGATTAACTCCACTGAAACTTTATCCTACTTATCATCCACTCTTGTTGTCTAACAAGAAGCAACTTTATAGGAGTATAACACCACTTCATCAATATTAAACAAAAAATCAAGAGAATCTGAAACCCTATCGACAAGAGGATTTGTAATGAAACGTGGCGAACGATTATTAGTTACTGAACACCAGCAGCTTATCCCAGCTACGAGATCGATGATGATTGAAATATCAGGTTTATATAAGTTTCACTCTGCCGAACGCTTATTACTGCCACGATATCTATGCTGTTTCTATCGATCTATAATAATCACAAATTGCTTGTTAATTACGCGTTCTTGTCGCGACAATAAGTCCTGTGTCGTAACAATACAATCGGTACTAATCATCAAATGCACTGCTCTCATCGGAACAAACAGAACCATTAATCTAAGGTACCGAAGGCGTGATCTAGATCATAATTACGATACTAATTATTGTCATTGTAACAGCAATTGAAACAGAAGTAAATGTAACAGTATGTACTTATAACTATTCGTGATTATAGAAAGGTAATTGGATGGTAACTGTCAGTTTCATGGACAAGATAGTGCTGGGATTACTTTACTCTGTCCATTTCTTTATCTTTAATAGCGTGCATTCATTTCGTGTTTAGATTATGTATTTCTAAGATGTACCAGTGAATAATGTACAATTTTTTTTTACCGAACTGAATATTTTCTTACAAGAAAATAAAAACATATGGTCCTTTAATAATATTTATTGTTGTTCTCCAACATCCTATACTGCTTTTATCAAGGAAGAGGGCGGGTAGGTACACTGACATTAGTTACAGAGATATTATATGTTATAGAGAGCAATTGATATCATTTTACAAAGAGACAAGGGATGTCAGTAAGGTATTGATAGAAACCGGAAACTCGATGATATGATAAGGCTGATATTGCCATTATAAGGAAGCCGACAAAGTTAGATTAAAAAAGAGAGGCACTGTACATACAGAAATTGAGAAAGGTCACTGCTTATGTCAGTATAGTGCTCATAGCTCTCACTATTATTATGACACCCTACTATAATCAAAAGTTACCAAAATATAGAATCGTTCGCGACATCGATCAGTATATGTTTGTATTACTTGATGGGGATTCTAAGGACTGCCTAGATAATACTGAAATTATAGCCTTCTCCCCACGTAATTGCAGCATTCGATTTCAGGTAGAAACTACGAATGACTCGTAAAGAAATTCATAAAGACAAGAATCTAGGTAGAAATTTATTTGTTCCCTTGAGTCTCTTAATGGATTAAGAATAAAATAGAAAATTTGTTGTATTTGATGAAAGTTTTGTATTTCATTCTGTATCACAGAACCCTATAGGCTAAATGCATCGAATCCGCAGTCTACCGATGAGCAAGTGAGACGGAAGGGAAGCCTCTTAAGGGGTCATGCTCAGTCAGGAGGCCGAAAAAAGAGTGTTCTTTGGGAATTTTTTTCTTGAAAACTATAAGACCTTTTTCAAAAAACGTGTTTGTATTTCGAAGATTGCAGTTTCTAGATTATAAGGTAATTTTTTTGTTTAAAAATATTTATTAGTAAATAAATGGTGAGCGATCTCCCGGATGTCTCTTTACAAAAAGTGGTCTGCCGTGATCACTGTAACTTTGTAACGGTTCATCTGAAATTAGAAATTCAGTAAGATTTATGTAATGAAAGAACCAATCTTGTCCTTGAACGTGGGGTTTTTCGAAATATCGATTAGGAACAAAATAGCGGACGTTCTCTTGACAAAGTGCGATTTTCACCTAAAAAATCACTCGTTTTTGGTCAATTAAAAAAAAAGTATGGAACGAACAAAAGAATCCTTCGGTCAAGGACAAGTTTTTCTGATTTGAAATAAGGCGCAAAAGACTTCATGTAAATCGACACAGTAGTTTTCGAGAAATATTGATCACCGATTTGTAAAATGTAGTTTCGAGAAAAACGCGTTTAAAGTTTCAGGTCAAGCTTACACTTATATAAAATGTTCATTTTTTAACATTTTTTTAACTGTCATTTTTAATTGGATTACCTTGAAACTTGCAGAGAATATTCTCGAGATTTTGTACTTAAAGAAAATGTAGAAAGTGAAAAATCGATTTTTTGAAAATTTCTGACTGAGCACGACCCCTTAACCCTTTCACTCCTAGCGCTAACTACAACTGGCACTAACGAACCACTAAATATAAAGTTTAAACTTATGCTATAATTGTAATTTGATAGAAATATTTTATTTTATGTAAATTCTACGGGGTTGGCCAGAAAGTTCGTGCGGCTTTGAAGTCGACACATAGTCAAGTTGATACAAACTGTTTTCTACGCTTGATTTCGCCATTTCTTGCGTTGTGTAACGAGGATTATTGCCGATTAAACACTTCACTTGGTCGTTATGAATATCCTGCGGCCGGCCAGAGCGTGGTGCATTTCGGAGAGAGAAATCCCTGAATAAAAATTTCGCAAACCACTTCTGGCACACGCATTCTTTGATGACATTCCATCCGTATACCTTACATGACTTTTTACAGATTTACGCCATGGTTTCTCTTTTTTTAGAAACAAAAGAGCAAAATATACTGGAAATGGATGTCGCCCATCCTATCTTTCTTTGGATATCGATCTTTAAAATTATGTCAAAATTATAAAACAAACCCAATCGTCAAACCTTTTAGTTAAAATGTACGGTTACATGTTAGGTTACACCTTTCCGCCGAATCTTGTTATCGCTAACTAGTATTTCTTAGCAAAAACTTACATGCCGAAAGACATGCATCTTTATAATGTTTTTTCATGAATTTGGCTTAATCGTTGATCTTTTAATGTACATGAAGGAAATGGCAAACTTTGGCCGACAATGAGAATGATTCTTTACGGTAATTAACATTAGTGTTTGACATCATTGTTTTTATTGTTATATTACATACCGAAATGAGTTAGGTTATTATTTTGTATACTATACTTTTAGAACTATGTTATTAGTTTTCAGTCATAAAAGTAACAGCAAATATACATATATACCAGTAAAATCCCTCATTTTAATGCCCAACGACCTAATAGTATTTCCAAGTTCAACACTGATCAAGATGTAAAATATGTTGTATGTATGAGACGACCGGATATTTCTGTGAGTACCTGTGTGTCTTTAATGCACTGAATTAACACAGTGGAGAAGCTAAAGAGCGTATCGTGATTCCTGCGAGCCTACTTTATGCTACTGCATAATCGGTATGCGGTTGACATTGTCGTAGCGAAAAGGTTTAATGAAATACGAATGAAAACGTCGACATTGTGCAATTATTACTGGAGGAGGAGGGGAGGGAGTGTTCCTTCTTTGGAGACTAAAACATACTTTCAACCTTTTCAGCGCTATAAACCCATACTTATATAAGATTCTAAAAACTATTCACCACCTACTATGAACATGAACCTATTTGACGAGCATAGTCCATTTGAAATCGAAATTGAGATTTTAGCATCAAAGTTTGAGCTTAGGGGAGACTATTGAAATGTAGTATAATAAATGGAAAAAACGGGCACAGACCAGAAGAATTAAGGACTGTTTTACATTTCTTCAATGGAAGAATGATCAGATTCCAACTCGATAGTTCAAAGTCTGGACTATAAAAACAAATTTGTAAAGCTCATAAAAGTTTAATATTTTTAAAAATATTTAGGAACAGATTATACGAAAGAAGGATATTAAATTTTTGATCGTGTATAGTCAGGGGGACTTCATAAAATTTGTTTTTCAAGTAGTGAAAACTGAACTGTTAGTGATTTATTGTCGCGTAGAACCATCCCATACGCGCTATGAATTGATATTATGAAAAGACATTAGAATCAAATAATTAAAAAATCCAAAGGAGAAATATTATTTCACTCTAGCGCACGCTTTATCGCAATAAGTAAGCATAAAATAGACGTACGTCATTGGACATCGTAGCGCTAAAAAGGTTAAAATAAAATTTTGATATTAATTATTTTCCCTATTATACCTGTGTAAATTCTTCCTCGCCGCCACTACTATTGTCCTCGCAGTCCGAACCGTTCAGGACCGCCCGGCGATTCCTTTTCGGATTCATCAGCTGATGCCGACTCCTCATACGCGACGCGCCCTCCGTCAGATTATAAGGGGCTCGAGATGGCACATTGTAACAACGTTGACTGACCGACATCACTTTGTACAGCACCTGAAAGCAATACGGATCCATGTCTTTTGAAATTCTAATGTGGCCGCACGGTGAAAGCCGATGCTCCCCCATTATCAACGATTCGCACGTTCTATTCGCTCGAACATTGTTAACGTTACAAGTATTGCACATCTCTGTCGCCAGCTAACGTCTCGAGTAAATGGTGGCTTGTAAATCCTTGTACGGGAGATTTACGTTCGCTGCGGGTTGCATAGAAAAATGATGGCTACACGTGGCACGATTGCAAGTTTGTGTTCTTTTCAAATGTAATGCGATTCTTACACTTGGGCGTTACGTGAACAAAGTGGATATCCTTTGTAAGCACCGCCTGGCGTTCTTCGATTGTGAGAGCATGACTATTTTCATTTGTTTTATATAATGATAGTTTTTTTCATCGCGTGTGTTTATTACACATTTATTTGTATTAAACTATGTATTTGTAACATTGATGTGAAAATTGTGCGGAATATTCCTACCTTTTTTTAATAAGTGAAATATAATGAGATTAAAATATTTTATACGAAATAAAAATAAATTGGATTTTTATATCTGTAAGTTTGTTGTATACTTAAAGGAAAAATACTGGTAAAGTAATCGTTATGTAATAGTGTTTTTCTACATGTGTAGTTTACTATATAGGGTGACTTTTGATTCTCGCGTTTGAAAATTTGCAGTGAATTTAAAACAGGGTTACTGAGATGATAGTTGTACAATGGCAAACTGGAAAGAAACAATAAACGAATATTTCGTCTTATACAATTCTAACTACAATATTTCAATTTCTATTACATAAAATATTTTTCAATGTGCAATTTTGTAGTAACATTTTTTTTAGTTCTGTGTATTCTAATTTAAATACGCCCTTGCAGAAATATGTTATATCAACACAATTATTCCCTTATCATTAATATACAATAAAAATACAGCACTCCACTGATTAGTACAAACAATATTCCAAGATAAAGTTGACGAAGTTTTAGAACGAAAACGGTACATTCCTTGGATTAGTATTCACAGTTTTCGAATAGCATTTGTTCTAAAAATCAATTTATACCAAAGTTGTGAATCTTGTAAACGAAATGAGATACTAAGTAGTAATTATCTAATATTACAAAACTATCAGTGCTCTTTTTCATATTTTAATCACGTATGACAATAAATTCATGGAGAAACAATACAAAATATAGGCCAGTGACGAATACAACTACAAGTTAGAACGTTTTCATTCATTCGTTGGTAATACAAACGATCTTCTTATCTTCGTAATTATAAGTACTTTGTAATTACAACTTCGTTCTCACTGGGTATTACATAACACAACGTAATCACTGAATTATTATTATTACTTTTAAAATAGAAATGACCCACATCAATCACACTTAAATGTAAGAAAGAAAAAGATATTGTTTGGCATGAGATTAATATTAGAATGAATTTCTATAATAAACTCAGAAAGAAGTCTAATTTCTTTTCAAACAGCGGCAATTATATTTACTTAACAATATCGATTATGTAATTATGTTAATTCGCATTTTATTTTTATTTGTTACACAGTTTTTGGATGTCGACTTTAATGTTTGAATATCGTACACATTCAGACTACTTTGATGTAACTTCCTAACAAGTTACATCCGGAACACCGAAGCATTTTCACCAAAGGAAGGTGCCAAACATTATTTACCTTACGGCATGAACTGCACGCGAAAAGAATGATTCCCAGATCTTACATAAGTACCGGTGCAGCTTGCGGCAATGATTCCAGCAGACTTTCCGTTACATAATAACCGTTCGGAATTCGATTTGCCTTCGTACCTCCGTATTCGTTTCGTCGTCAAAATTTGTTACTACGAAATCGAAACTAAAGATAGAAGTCTATCTATGAAACCAAGCGAAAATGTCAAGCATAATGTACATATAAAAAACTATGAATATTAGCTGCTAATTGCATCACCATTCTTATAAAACAGAATTTTAAAGATTAAATTCGATTTTTGCGTCACTACTGAAATATTGAATTAAAAGACGATGTGTTTATAAACGAAACATGATTAATTTCAAGAGTAAAATTGTTTCAAGATGATTTGAAATTCAAAAATAGTGCATAACGCATATCTATGTTCTTGCATGAATATAGACTCGAAATAATTTTGATTGAAATTCTAAAGTTAAAGCAAGCTTTCTGTAGATGCTGTTTTTTAAGAACGTTTTAATAACGAAACAACACTAAGACGACATTTTTAAACAATTCGTTACTTTCGAGAAATATTACGATTCCATGTAGAACGTGTATGTGATTTTTTTAAAAAGAAAAGAAACTGTTAAGCGCGCCAATTTATTATCTTGTACAAACGTTTGATCAAGTTCCAGTTACTTGTTAATATCTCTTAATTAATGTAAATATTTACAAGCCTGCAATTTGAATCTTACTATTCTTTTATTTTCTCGAAGTTTGACAGAAAACTATTATAGATATCGATACTATTTTAGATCCAAGTAGACAGTGGTGTCCATTTTATACAATTATGTTATACAATACCATATTAAAGAGGCTCGTAACAAAAACGATCCTAGTCAATTTTTTTTTCAGGAGAGTAACAAAATACTTTGGCATCTTTAAGAATCTTAGGAATCTATCAATTTTCTTTTTAAAAGAAACCGGGACATAGGTCGTTTTTGATAGTATAGCTTCCACCATGTTGTGAGTATCGAAATATAATGTTATACAATGTAATGTAAAAAAAAATATATAAAAAATACAATATGTCTTACAATATTATAGATACTGTTGTTATTAAAAAAAACCGAAACATTTGGCATGGATTGTTTTTGTCGTAAGCCCTTCAATTTAAAGTGGATCAATTATTTCATTCACTATATATTTCATGGAAGTTAGCGAAAAAGAAATCACTTTATAGTATCAGTGTTACTTAACAAATTTCAGGGACAAGGTTTCGAAATAGAATAATAATAAAAGCAATACTAACTTCAGTAAAATATCAATTAAGATATTAAGTTTTAGATATTTTGTAAAGTTTCAAATAAGAGCGCCCACTTTATTCGGTATCATCTCGACGATGACACTTCTCGCAGTTTCAAGAACGCGTAATTCAAAAACCGTAACAACTCGCTCACAGGGAATGGAAAAACGATACCCACGATTTAAACACTCGAGCGTATTGAGTTGCGAGTAATTACCGCTGGCCTTGCGTTCAGCGTAGACTAGCCTTGGGTCACTCACCTGGAGTCTTATTGGAACACACACACAAATGTTCGTATAGATTGATATGCCGTGGCAGAAAGGCCAACAGGGAAATAAATTTCTTCCTGCTGTTTTTTTCTTCTTCTCGTTATTTTTTTGTTCTCGCGTAGGTGCTCGCCAAGGAATCATGGCAACATTACTGTATAATATACAGTTGACGCACGGTTCGCTATAATACTCCATGTTATTCATGAAAGTCGATTCGCGGAATATTTATTCGCGACTTCGCTCATTCATCTTCCGCCCACGCCTCGAATACAAAACCCGCGGATATTTCTACATGGTAGGGCGGTAGAAAAAGACACTTTGCTGATAATTTATGAAAACTTGAATTTTTCCTTTTCTATTTCGTAGCTTGTTGGTTTCTTTTGTGAAAATGTAAAAAATTGTGCTTTAAGGTCAGTACAAGGTTTTAAACCGTTTTTATCAATTCTGTTTGGCTCTAAGGAAATACCGTTAGATGCGGCCATTAATCTTGTCGTAACTTTTAGCTGTAGAATCGGATCGAATCGCATTTGATTAATTCTTTGATACTTAATGGATCTCACAATTTACAGTTACAAATCTACAATAATAATCCATTTTGTATTTTCTTTGATGCCAATTAAATCGTTTACATCAAACTGACGGTTTTTTTACACGAGTAGACGTATCTAAGCACAAAAAGAGTTTTGTTTTCAGCTGACAATAATTTAATTTTCTGGACCGAGAATTGTATATATCGATTTTTTTATACAAAATCTTTAAATAGTTTATTATATGTATACAGGACTGTACCGGGTCTCTGTATTAACTCTGAAGGTTCTATACAGCAAAAATAAAAACTATTAAAAGATCTTAAATGAAAGAATGGATGTGTACAATTCTAAGTCTAGAAGATTAAATTAATTTCATCTCGTCAATAGATTCTATACAGAGCACGTCGTTTCAAAAAACACAAAGAATACGTTGAACTCTAAAGTAAGCACCAAGTATTCAACAAATTTAATACAAAGCACCTCACACTCAGGGTGTTCACCATAATCTATTCTGAATTCAAGAATACCTGGTTCAAGTCATCCTCAAAATTAGTTTCATGTGATTAATTTTAGTCGTTTAAGAAACCTGACAAAAGGCATTTTACAATGAGACTCACTTAATCTCTATTACCTGGAACAATTTACAGTGACTCACACGTTCGTTTACATACTTTCAAAATAATAACTGCGTGTAAAAATTTGTATACGGCTCTTATCTATCTTTTCTCATTATGTTTACTCGTATCATGTATTTGTGATGAAAGTTTCTTCATTTTGAAACGTAGTTTCTAACAGAACTAGAACAGTTCGCATCTTATTACAATAAAAGTGATGGCCATTTGTAAACAAATTTATGAGTAACTGTATCTTAGCGCGTTTGGATTCTGGTCAGTTCCAATCAAATCTTCGGAAACAAGACCAGTCTGTTTATTATTCAAGTCTATCTTCTGAAGTCGGAATATTCTGCACTGTGATTTTTGAAATCAGACTAGACCATATTGAGTCTCTCGTAGTTAGAACAGACTAATCCGTATATTTAAAATCTACAATCTACCATTAAAGAACACTCAATATTTATATTTAATATTTTTTGTTATAAAAAGTGTCAAGCATTACTGGCCACTAGTCTAGAAGCTAATTTTGTTCACCTTTACCTTCATTTTCAAAGAGGTTAAAAAATCGCGCTTTTTATCGTAAACTTGTTACGATCCAAAAAGTAAAGCAGAGAGATCATACGTCATGTAACAAACACTATGCGCTGTCTTCGATGAATATACTTATACTCGCGAGTGGCTATGGCTATCATTGCTCCACCACGGGTCACTCACCTGACGGCTATCATACCGAGTCATTAAGCTATACCGCTATACCCAGCAGCACCGGTACCGGAAATGCCATCGTGCAACGACGTCTACTTCTTTTGTGTACGTTCGTGACTCCGGTACAATATCTTGATCACTCTATCTTTCTCTTTCGCTCGTTTGTACCGTTCGGTTACGTACCCCTCTGTTTGTGCAACACTCGCGACAACACGGGAATTCGAATTAACCTTTTGACTACGAAAAGCGTATATGTATACATATACGCCCTCGCATGTCTAAACTGATCTTTTACTAAACTGATCTAACAAAGAATTTAGATTTTTTTTATTGGTATATTTTTTGTTAGCGACTGACATGTACATATCGCACCGCAGTCAAAGGGTTAATGGTTAATGGCTACTTGTACAATGCAGTACTACTGCATGCGTATTAGCTCAATGGATTATTTGCTTCTTTGAGCCTACAGTTGAATATTTGCAAAACAATTGAAACTATACCGAGTATCCAGGCAACATATTCGGATTCTTGTATGTATACCTGTATTTATATATTATGTACACTACCGGTAACAAGTGCTAGATGTCTTTCGCGAAAATTATATACTTCAGGCCACATTTATTACTTTATAGTAGCATAAGTGTCGTGCATCGAACTTTAGAATCCCCTAAAAAATATTTCTTTCAGACATTCAGTAATTTCGTAATGCTCTGTAACGTTCATTAATTTATTTGACTTTTTTTTTTGTATCCTAATACTTATGAACGGGAGTATATACGATGACACAAATTGTAAAAATGCATTCCTACATAATATACACTGCGTGGCATAACTACAAAACCACCCTAAAATTTTCCATTTTTTTTTATCGTGGTTAATTGAACAGTCTTCAGATATTAAAATTCCGTTCATGGAAACCTGCATCGTCTTCACAAGAAGATAAGCCGCAAAAGTTGAGCTTTATTTACGGGACACCCTAACATTTATGCCCATATAAAAATCAGCTTACCTTAATCAATTCCTGACGCACAGCTGGAGAATTCTTGTCAATGGCCACGCTGATGCAAAGGGCAAACAACGCTTCTTCGTGTCTACCCAGCGCGGACAGAGCCACCCCTCTTCTGTAATGACCCTGCGAACGAAATATCAACACTTAGAACGCGGACATGGGGTTCAGTTTCTACTAATAACTGTCATTGGTCGATACTGCCGCGTAGAAATCTACACACACACATTATGTCCAACACTTGTTGTACGACGGTATCGTGCGTCGTTATTGTAAAGGTGGGTTTCCGCTGATGTTTGCAAATAGTTCACGAACAATATACGAATTGTATTTCCTATCACCTGTTCACGTATTGTTCCTCACGGGTTCGCAATGCATAGTTATGTAGTGCGTTAGCGGTTATAAAAAGTTTTCAAACTTCTTGTGGGTACTATTTGAGAACAGTTATTTATAAACGGTTTGTCATTTTTATCAGTGAATACGCACCTTAAAACAGTAGATAGTTATGATCGAAAGAAAAGTTGGAAGGTGAGAGGCAACAGACGGTACCATAATCTGACAGGAAGAAATTATGTTTTGTAATGAAATTAATAAAATAATTGCAAGAAATACCGATGTTTATAGAAATATCTCACTTCTTAGAGTAAAGGAATAGAATGTTAAGGGAAGTATCGACATATGAGTTGTTGAATCGTCCATGTTCCTTAACATGTAAGGAATATTAATTGTCAGTAGTTATGCAAGGTTTTACTATGGTCTGTTTTTCTAAAGAAGAGCCCTCGGGGGTCGCCCTGCCTCGACGTGTGGCCTGGTGGGGATCCAACGCGAGCTGCGTATTTCGCGCGACGTTGTGACGGCTCAATGCCACTGTGTGTCTCTTTCCATCCTCCGGCACTTAGGCACGAGAGCCTCTCGCTCAGACGTTCAGTAAACCAGCTTCCTTCTTTACCCTGCGATTTCCACGTGTAGCGTTTAATAACCTATGTATTAATTTAATCCCCTTTTAATATGTTGCTCAATATTTGGGTACAATACATTCTTTCAAAAGAAATAAACTTTTTCTTATTCATGTATTTTAACTCTTGACGTGTGAAAACTGGAGACAGACGACCGTAGGCGAGGACTCATGTCGACGGTCGCACGTCATTGGCCAAGACGCGAAGAGTGAGAGAGACACAAGTGCCGTAGATGTCTCGCGATTGCGGCAACACCGCGAAAAGTCGGGCCTACCTCCCAGGGCTTTTCTTCAGAAAAACAGACCATAATATTGTGATGGTTTATACAAAATGTTAATTGACAGTAATTTACTACTTTTTATTTTCCACAGTAATGTGATATAAACTTGTGGTCAGCAAACATATTCTACGCTTCTGTTGCGGCGTACTCACGATAAGCTCACAATTTGTCAAGTGCTCGTTGATAAATTAATGCCATGGATCTCGTTGGAAATTGTGTGAATGAAGCTAGTGATGTTATGTGGTTTGAATAAGTTAACACTACTTTGTAACACACTTAAATTTCAATACAAACGTAGTCGAGTGTGATGTAATTGTATGTGTGTACTAGTTGTGTTCTCGTTTATGGTTGAATGTGTCCTGTCTGGTGGTTGAATGCGTGGTCGCTTGTTGCAACGGATCGACTTGCGATTGGTGGAAAATGCAGGATTTTGGTTGGTGTATATTGTGGAAGAAGTGGTGGTATAAGGTTGAAGAAATTGGGCTTCGTGTTTTTTAGAAGATTTTTTAACATTATTCTCTAGCACATGTCGCGGAATTAGTAACACAACCCGTTAGGGAATAATGCTACATCATAAAATAAATGCAAAAGCGTGTATATATTTATACATATATAAAAATATATATGTATTCGTAATAATTAAATTGAATATTGACTGAAGATAATGACAGTTACTTGATAATGTAATCTATTATACATGAAAATTGCAACCATAAAACGCATAAAAATGTGCATAAAATGTTAAACTAATATTATAATTGAAAACTATAAAGTAGTATATTAATAAAATAAATAACAGTAAAATAAGACTAATAAAACGAATAAATTAATATTATTGTACTCATTTACTCTACGATATTTTATACTGTGTATTGTTTTATTTGTAAAGTAGAATGTGGCTTATAAATTGAGTAAAATAAGAATTTTTTCTTTGGTAAGAAGCTACTATAGATGCAGAAATTAATAATCATTCGTAGTGGTTTTTATGTATTTCAAAGTGTACTATGACAAAACCGACTTCATGAAGGTATAACTCGGGAAGAAAACCTCACTCTCTGTCGATACATTTCTCAATAAGGTACTTCAAGCTCGAAGGTCTGATCTTCCAACCCTTAGATTTAGGTTAGGGATAATGCATCGTGGTGGCTTGGATGCGTCTGAATCAGGATTGGGTTAAGGGTACGGGGGCAATACGTCGCCAAACATCTGATCGAAGAGCGTGCCAAGTGGGCGAAACTTACCCCTTCAGCGTGCACGCGAAAGATTCGATTGAATCGACTATACACAGCTGTATATGTATACCTCTATTGTATGTAACATATCATTTCTGATGTAGTGAAAGTAACTGCCTATCAAAAATGGATGAGCCAAAATTAGTCACTTTTGATTACCTACTATTTTCAGTTTTCGCTAACATTATACTAACAATAAGTTAATGCTTACGCAAATGTGTTTACGAAATACAGTGACTAACAAAGTTCATAAACTATCGATTTACATATAAATCCGCAAACTAGGTGAAAATAGGGGGGATAAAACAAGAGGAGTCGGGTAAAAGTTTTTAAACTTAATTATTATTTCGAGAATATGTGAACATGGGTTACTGTAGTTCGAAAAGAGCAATAATAATTATTAAACAGTAAAGACGAAATAAGAAGGGAAAAATAATGTTTTGAATAATAATCATTTTAAACAGTTTCTTATGTATATTTTTCAAACAATTTAACAAAAACACGGTTCATGTATATGGACACAATTTTTCACTTAAATTGAGCGCTTCAAATAAGATAACAAGTCATACGAGTCATTCCACGTCAACAGGGACAGAAAATTTTTATTCACCTCTTCAATTTTCTTGAAATTTCTCGAGGAGCCATAGGTAGTAATGGGTAATCGAAAATTAAATATAGTCCAATTTATGTCGGGTTTGGACTTATTTTCATCAGGAGAATCTCCTACATTTATTCATAACATTTTTAAGAAAGTACCCTGAAAGGAGTAAAAGTTTAAATTTTTATTCATGGGTGGATTCGTTCTGTGTGTTACATTGTATCCCGAGCGTCGCTCGACGGCGGCTTATAGAATATCAGATAACATCTCTACTCGCCGAGGCTTCGCTGGGCAGAGCCTCCTCTCTGCTGTCACCTCAGAAAACTGTCATTTCGGCTCACTCAACCCACCGAGCCGAACCGGTGAATCGTTGGCTTCCGATGCAGCTCGAGCTGCTCGGCTTGACTACCTATCACTAACCATAGGTCGAAAAACGTGATTCGACGGTATTTGTGTTGTAACAATTAAAATAAATTACAAGATCTTACTCAGACTCTTAATAAAGAGAATACCCCAAGCTTGTACAATATTGCCAATATCACTACTATTGCTATCCCTTTTAGTCCTAGCTTTAATGTAATCCAGAAGCTTTCATGTTGAGAAATGATGACTCGTTTTCTATCGCGTTGAAACTGAACATTGGGTGGTGTAGTTCATCAGATGTTGCAAGTGAATGTTCCAAACCAGGCGGTCACAGAAAGGCAAACACATTTATCTTAGGCACTCTTACATTAAAGAAACCGAGGACCAAGGTGTGTCTGTGTGTCTGGATCATTTACAAACGCAGGTGTATCAAGCGTGATATGCATGACTTAGCAGCTGGTTTCTTATTAACTGCTACTAACATACATTCAGAGTCCACAAGCGTATTTTTCGGTTGTTTTCTCACACACAATAGAACAGCAACAATTATGGCACTCTTGGATATTTCCCTTTCACGCATACTAACAAACAATCTAAATGTTGTGTTAATAAGTACATATTCAAAACCTAATGCTGTCGCGAGACTGTATGTTTTTTCCGTCGATGAAACCGCGACTAATCGCGAGAGGACATATGTTTCATCCTCCAGTATCGGTATACGGAGTTCTCAACAAATTCTTTTAGGTTTTAGTAGAAACACGTTTACGTTTACGGTTTGGAGATACATATTAAAATTGCGTTTCCATTGTAACCGGAAAATGCATACGAGTGGCTCCGTAGTGGGCCTCTATTTGTTTCAACGTGTTGTAAAGGACAGTGGGTTCCAGCAAAGTCAGGTCGATCTTTTCCTGCTGGCCCATGATCACTGCTATTCAACCCTCCGAGCACGGTCCCTGGGTCACGCGTTCGCGAGAGCGACATGCGCAGTGACAGAGTCAGGAGTGAGGACACGCGGTCTCGAGAGTGACACGCACGCAGTGACGGAGCTGTCGTGTAAATTGCATAGCGACCGATGTTTGTTTACATGCGAATGACCGGGCCAAGACGCCGCAGAAGTATTGACTAATAAATATAATTTGTTTTATAATTCACGAGATTTTTATTCTAGTAATGTAATAAGAACCACGAAAATCCAAATGTAATGTGGAATCAGCTAATCATAACATTGTAAAGCTCGAGCTCGAGCAACCGCCACTGCGTAGTAATATCGGTGCGGGTCTCGAGCTCGAGCCATACTGGCACTGTGTTAGTACAGTGTCGGTGAGGACCTCGAGCTCGAGCCTCGCCGTCGCTGTGTCGTAGTAGAATATCGGTGTGGGGTCAGATATGACATAGGGACCGATGAGCATGTTTTCGTGCTCGATGGGTTAAATAATCCGATGGTTCGTCAAACTCGGCGACCAGTTCCATGAGTTGGGTGGTCAATTCGAGGGCGTACTGACGTTTAAACAATTCATTTGCCCTATCTGTTAACGATCGAAGAGCAGGTAAGGCTGTCTTCTTGAAATTATCCAAATCCTTTAGCACACCTCTAACATTTGTAGTTTCGTTATGTATTAAGGTAGTAATTTTTTGATTATCGGTACAAATCTAATCTAGTTCACTATTATAATATTGCACGCCAGTGTTCGAGAGTGATTTCGAAAATCAAACTCGCTAGATCACCTGTCGGACTTAACGGATGCAAGTAGAGTGTCAGTCTCTCTGTCAATGCATCGGACTCGATCCTAAATTCGCACGATCGTCTCCGTCAGGATGTTATTTTTGACGTGCAGGCCCATTACTTTATCGATGTACTGCATGCCGTGGTAACCTGTTCTTTCCAACTCCGTGATATTGAAATAGACGATAGCTCGCCATTTTCAATGGTACAGCCAAGTTGCACCTATGTTGTCGAACTTCCATGCCGAGTGAGAGCGCTGTACACCCACGAGCAAACTCGGCTTCCACGCGGGGAAAAAGAGGCGTAGAAGAAAAGTCTTCTACCACTTGGTAAATTTATTCCAGGTAGTGAAATAAATGGTAAATCGAATATTAATTTAGCATACATTTCAGTAATTCCAAATACCATGTGGTAGGAGGCTATTTCCCTACGTTACTTTTTCCCCTAGTGGAAGCCGAGTTTGCTCGTGGGTGTACATGATCCCCCGATGAGCCATACAATTGCAATTGTGAAATAAATATTCATATATTAGATGATTTTCTATTTAGATGCAGCAACTGTGGTTTGCCCTTAACAAGTATTTTATTGTTCGCCTCTCCCATGAGCTTCATGACCATCTAAGGCCCTTTATATTGACCTGCCAGACCTGTAAGGCAATCACGGCCTTGATTTTTTAACCAAACCCAGTCTCCTTCTTGGATTTTATCAGGCCGAGCAGTCTTGTCAAACTGCTTCTTCGATTCTTCTTTTGCTTTCTTGCAGTCTTGCAATAATGTTTCCTATTGAACAAGCGACTTTCCTAATGAAACTAAACGCTGATTTAAATAGTAATCCCATAGGAGAATCTCTGCATTGATGTGTCACTATTACTGTGCAAATTCATTCTGCTTGTGCTGGGTTGTTGATCACCAATGAATGACGCGTTATCACTTGTATCACTACTGTCCGGTATTTTCGATGCACGTAGGCGATACGTATTCCAGACCTTCGCATTTTTCATGGCGATAGATTTCCAAATCTTTTTAGTTTGCGGATCATAGCAGACTGTACATTTCGAAAATTTTTCTGTGCATTATTCTCATGATTTTTGAACTAAAAAGGATTACAACACGAATCGAATCGTTTTCCCTTCGTTGTCGTATTACATACAATACTCTCAAAACTTTTGACTTTAAAGAAGTCAGATCTTGTTAGCACGAAACGCAGACTGAAACAAAAACAGTCTAACTGAACGTCTGACAACTGTTTAAACAACAGCGAAACATCAAAATAACAAATACTTCGAAGAGGAAGTGGAACTAATTCTGGTTACATTCGCGCTATTTACGAAAATGCTATAATAATAATAACAATATTTAACGATAATATAAAGCATACACTAAATAATTGTCTGACCAAACCATTTCGAAATGGTTAAATCAGTGCGTGGAACTCATGGATTTCATTACTTTAAACCAGTTTCGCACAATAAATTCATTGCCAAGAAGTTCTCAACTGACACAGAAGGCCATGTAGTGCACGTTTATAAAACAAAGTACTAAATAAGATTAACATAAAATATCCGTAAATGCGTGAGCACCAGGGGTGTGCGGGTATCCGACATTTCGGATTCGGGTCGGGCCGCGAGAAGTCGGGCGAGATCGGCCGGGATCCCGACAGTATAAATCGCATCAGGATCCCGACAGATGTCGGGTCCCGTAACATCTTCGGGTCCTGAATGATATTTTCGAGAACTTATCCGTCTACCGGCAAAAAATTAAACTATACTTAACTATACTATACTTTATTTATTTTATAATAATAATAATAATAATAGTTTATTGAGACGGGCGTACATTCGCCCAATATATATTCATGTTATACATATAAAGAACTTATTCTAAGAGAATTAAACTTAATCATATTGTCGCGTCCGTCCGCGTGGATTTCTCTTTCGAATCCGCCTGGAGTTGTAAATTCCAGGCTCGACCGTCGTGGTACGCGTCCGGTTGCGACTGTTGCCCGCCAAATTAATATTAGGCAACTGTTTCAATTTCTCTAGTGAGAAAAACGAATAATTGCTCGACCGTTGGAGCTGACGAATCGTGATGCGAATGTTGTCGAATGAATTGAGTCCGTGTGACTCTAGTCGTAACGAGTGCGAGTTTTCGAATGATTGTTGTCGAATGACTGTTCGATTACGAGTTAATGCGAATGAATTGAGTCCGTTTGACTCTTGTCGATACGAGTACGTGAATGTCTTGAGTCCGTGTGACTCTTGTCGAACGAGTGTGTTTTGCGAACGAGTGATTCTAATGAATGTTTTCGACTGAAGGAATCTTTTCGACTGTCTGTTCGAGTTTCGTGTGTCGTCGCGCTTCCTCGAAGTTCGATGAAGGCGTGACCAAAACTCGCCTCCTTATTGGTGATGCCCTGAAGGGGAAGGCAAATTTCTCGGGTTTTCCACGCGACGCGGAGGTGGAATACCTCTCCTTCAGGGCGAAGCGGACGTCAGGAAAATATCGCGCACGTGGTCGCGGTGCGAGTTGACCGCGACGAATTTTCGAGTCTCTCAACGGTAGGGTTTTATGACTATATTGTCTGCGAGTCAGCGCGCCCCGGTAAGGCCCGGCGCGGATGGGTCCCAGGTTACCGAGCGCATGTGGCGGACTGCAGACCAAATGTTCGCTTCTTTTGTATATTATTCTCTTTGTGTTAACGAAATTAAAATTGCTTGAATGAAGGAAATAAAATAATAAAAAGTAACGGTATCGTCTGACTGTATAACCGTCGTTTCGGTCTACGACGGAACACATATTTATCATTAAAATTAAAGGAAAGAACAAGAGAGAAAGAAAATTAGTACGAGAAGTAGAAGTACTAATACTTAACACTGATACTTAATTCTTAACACAATGTATAAATTCATAAATTCACGCAAGTATGTGCGCGTGCGTGCAGATACACATACACACTTATACACGTTTACACTGTAATACACTGCTGCAGTAAACGTAAAGTGAAAGTTGTCACTGTGTTAATGTACAAGGTAGAGAGACACATCTTATAATCCTATAATCTTCAATGAAAGTTTAAAGGTGTTAATAGAACCAGAAAAAAAGTCAACTTTAATTGAAATATTGTTCGCACAATTACATATTCTGGTCAGAGGGTCTATAAACTTCAAATCAGTTCTAAAATTATCAATCCGGAAAGTTTGGCGATTGCGTATGGAGCGTGGGCAGGCGTTAAGTTTGACCAGATACAATAGAGGAGGGTTGTCAATAATATGGTTCAAAATTTAAAAAAGAAAAAGATAGTCGCCGAACTTTCTTCTATCTTCCTGTGTTGACATATTTAGGCGAGTGAGAAGATGGTCGTAATTGTGGTCAGTCAAATGCATTGGATGCCCAAGTATACGAGATACAAATCTAACAAATTTAGTTTTTATTTATTTTACTTAATAAAAACATAACGTACGAAGAAATGTGTACTAAAGATTGTATCATTACTCCTGTCCAACCGCAGGATTCCATTTGGAATCGTTAAACTTATTTAGCATTTATAGTTCATATCATGAACCTGAAAATTCAATATGGCATTGCATGGTATAGTTTAATTTTTTGCCATTAGATGGATAAGTTCTCAAAAATGTCATTCGGGAGTCGAAGATCTTACGAAACCCGACATCTGTCGAGATCCCGGCCGATCTCGCCCGACTTCTCCCGACCCGACTCGAGGCTCGGGAATCCCGTGATTTCTGATACCCGCACACCCCTGGTGAGTACCTAACTTGGTAGGCGCCAAATTCATCTAACAGCGTTCGGGAAAAGTATAATAAAATAAATCTTATTCGAAATATTGAAATGTTGAATATTTATGTATAGTTACGTTACGATACACACGTTACATTACGAGGATATTATATGAGAAGATATAATAACGGATTTTAATTCCTAAAAATTTGGACGACGGATTATTGCGGCAATCTCAATAATGTAGAAGTTTAACATATTTTAGTGTATCGGTAGGTCATTTTACCGTACAGAAGTGCCTTAAAATACATCAAACAATTTGAAAATGCCATCCAAGAAACCGTTCGTACACTCATTTCTGATTGCCATACGCCCACACGCGCAGTAGCTTCGGCGCGCTGCGTCTATGACACGGTTAATTATTTATTTGAAAGTACACTCCATTGTTTTTCCGTCCTGAACCTTACCACAGTGGTACAGGATAAATCATGGAATAACGTCATATTTATTTCAAAACGGAATATCGATGTGTAACAATTTTAAAAATTTCATGTCATTATATATGTGCTTGTAACATATGTAATAACTTTTCGTTACTAAATTTAGTGCATATACGATGAAAGTGCGGATCAAGAGCTTTCAAATGAGTGCAAGATGAAGTATGTAAACTAAACAGAATTGGAGATATTGATGTTTGAATGTAAGCGGATTTCCAATTGTGAGCATTTTGTTGAACCTTTAATCATTTATATTTTCTTAAATATTAATTTTAAAACTCTAAAACAAAAAATCACGCGTGTTTCTACGCCATACAGAACACCAAAAGAAACTAACAAAACCGGAGGGATGATTGAATATTTTTCCTTTAAATCGTCCCGGTTGACGTGGAAGGATGACCTATACATATACAATTTTAATTGTGCATAAGTCAGTCTTGAGAATACTAGAACATCGACCCTGTCTTATATTCTCGAATATGCTTATTGCGTATTAATAATAATTATAATGCTTTATTGCGTATTAATTAAATAATACTTTAATAATTAAAACAATTCAGAACCAAAACAATTTGCTACTCCGTATATTATAAAATGTGATTATTTGAACATTTTGAGGGCTATTTTATATTATACAAGAGTATCGGTGTCTAGATATGCCATAGAAAAAGGTTTGTCTCACCTTGCCCCAGTCTGGTCTCAGCCTAACCGCATGATCAGCATCCGTGAGGGATGCTTGAGGCCTATTCAGTAGAAGCAATACGTGAGCCCTGTTGCTAAGATGGAGTGGGCTGTTTGGCGCTGAAACAGGACAAAACACGATCGTAAAGCATTGGTAGAATGCCGGATCCAAGAAACACAGGGGGGCAAGGGGGTGGCAGTTTACTTGGCAAGAAAACTGTCCCTCGTGTTTTCACAAAAAACCTTTTCTCCCTGATTAAATTGAGGGAACGATTTCACATTACCGAACGGATCGTACCAGAATAAAATTCTTAGAAAGTCAAATATCGTTTCCTTTTTATTAAACGTACCGACTTATGCTAATGGCCAAAAATATGGAGCACTTGCACAGTTTTCTTATATGAAGGAAACTTCTTCTTATATGCGTCCTTGTTAAAGTAAGTGTGTTCCTCACTTCAGGCCGTACCGTACCATACGAAACCAATAAAGAAAATTGTAAAAAAGAAATAATAAAAATTGTAGAAAACCTTGTTTAACCAGAAAAAGAGGAAATGATAAGGTAATCCATTGTTTTCATACGGGTACGATAACTCTCGAAGCGAGAAAGTCGAAAAGTTCATTAATCGAAACGAAAAACTGTTTATAACTTTGAAAATATTAATTTTTCAACGTATGTTTATTAAAACATTTTTTTACCATTTGGTGAGTACTATCTATCCTAGAAGTTATGAACCCTTTTTTTATCACCCTGTATAATTTTTACGAAACAGCACATAGCTCATTTACTGTAATAACGATATAGCTCAAGAATCACAATTTTAGGAAATACGAATTTGAATTAGTTTTGTACAGACATCATACTAAAATGACTGTCCTGACGTGGTAAGTTTTAGAAGTTTACGTACAGGATTCAACCGGTGAAAGGTACAGAAAATCACCATTTTTTCTATACTAATAACTCAAAAACAAGAAATTTTGCGTTATGTCGTTGTTGCAGCAAATTAGCGACATTTTCTTCATACAGACCAGGTGCCTCAATGCTTATGAGCGCTAATGTAAGTAGCGTACAACAGATACTAGTTCTTGTACCAAAATATTATTCTTTAGTCATACGATTACGATACCGTATTTTCGTTCTGCCATGCTAAAGATATCATTGAATGTCTGGAAAAACATATCAATTGGCAAAGAAAGGTCAGATTGATGCCTTTTTAATTGCATCAAGGTCACTGCTTCGTGAATTCAACGGAACAACTCGCAAAATCACCTAACAAGGCGACTCAATTCGTTTATAAGTTATGTCAACCGCGATTGTTGTGCAACGCATGCGTGGGCGTTACGAGCATACACACACACGTCGTAGACGCTGCCGGCCTCGTCGAATTTATTCCGAAAGCGCGTTACGTGCTAAATAATTTTCTCTTTCATCGATTCGACCTTCGACGGGGTACGGTATATGGAATACAGAATGTCCTTCGAGTCAGATCATTTGAACCGCCTATGCCTGACCGAGAATGCACGCCGATCTCAGTGAGCGAAAGCTCGCAATTAGTACGGTCGAATTAAACCGCAGAAATTAATTGGCTTACATAAAGCACCGGTGAATGGAGCTAAATACTCCTCGTTCCCTGCGTGCATCCACTTCGGGAATGTCGGGACCTTTAAACGGATGGATCTCAGTAATTTTGCCGAAACAGTAGTTTTCCATGTATTGGGAATAAAAAGAATGAAAGATTACTGTTGTATAACGATATTTTTAGAAAGTGTCGTTAGTTACTGGAATATATAAATAATTACTGAATCTCTCTGAATTAGTAGAATGATTTTTTCGTTAATCCTTGTTCTAATAAAATAATCCATGAGAATGAGAATTTGTATAAACATCCGCAGTCTGTCAATTGCAATGTCGCGTTACGAATCTTGACAGATTCGATGCGTGTAGGTTGAGAGTTTCGAGGAGGATAAAAACTGTTCTTGAAAATGGCTAATAAGGTAAAAATATTAAATGTTATTCCACAGTAAATAATCAATGCCTAACGAAAATTATAAAATGAATAATTTTTTACAATTCTCATACGTTTCTATAAATATCAACACATTTTTTGAAAATGTTGTATAACAATTGTGAAATGATATTTATTAAATAGAACTGTTTGAACTTTCATAAATAAAATCTATTAATATTGTGTAATAGCAATAAAAACTATTATGTTAACACAAAGACAAACATGATTTACACTTCTATTTTTTGGTTCTCGAGTGTCGGTTCAAATGAATTACTTTAGAGTACCAGTTTCATCCCGTATAATTTCGTCAAATGCACTATCAGTGGAGGCTCGTCTTTACTGAATGCTTGTAATCGCGGTGGAGGATCATCTTGTAACTTTCTCGAAATAGGCTGTACGCGGTCGCAATTTCGATGGCATCTGTTCGCCTTCACGACGATGCGCGTATAAGTGCAGCGAGCAAAATACTCTCGGGTCATCTCGCGTTTTGACGTTCTCACTTTATTAAAGGTTCATTTTCATGGTATCAGATTTCCATAAAGTCGATGTATCACTCGATTCACAGTTCGTCTACAAAAACAATCAGGCAAATCATACGGTTAACTGTTAACGTGGCAAATTTCGAACTAGTTAATTTTTAAAATTTCGTAACTTAAATTCTCTCCATATTTCGGAACTCCAACAAATGTAATATTTTCGAAAATTTAGATGTTTGTTAACCCCTTAAAATATCAATTCGTTCACACATGAGCAATTGTGGTGGAACTAAATCTTTGACTGTCTAAAGTGATCCTACAATCACTCTTTCTTTTTCTCTAATATTCACGGTCGCGTTAATTACTATGTTGGGTTATTAGCGACATCGTTGATAAAATGATGAAGAGTATTTAAAGACGGTTATACATATAGGTATGTTGAAATTGTCTTTGATGATTGGCTTAATATTGAATTGTTGTCTATGGGTAAAATCCTTTCTGCACAACACCGTACAATTTAACTATATTTTAATGCGTTAATTTAATAATATTTTTGTAAAAATTATGAATTATTAAGATTTTATTAGCATATAACTGAATCGTATCATCATAATCAAATACAGCATAGCTTACTAAAATACTTAATAAAAATCTCTGTCAAGGATCCAAAAGGGTTACACTGAAAAGGGTACCGAGGAATCAGTGGTACCAATTTTAATCGGATAATTTCAATAGGTATCAATTGCAAAGATGAATGTACAGTTCGTAAATTCTACACCCGCTGCGAACTATCACGCGTTAAAGGGTTAACACATTGAATGGCCAGAATTAGGTACCTCTTGGGACAGTATCATGATTAGACTGCGGATTTTATGCATCTATAGCGTGCCCAATTGTCTGAAATTCAGTATAGTAAAAAGTTTAGTAAATTTTGATATGGTTTTCATTTTATGTGGGAGTTTATAAAAGCTTAGCTGCGGTAAAAAAAGTTTCGTTTTATTCCTAGTTTCTGTAAATATGTTTTTAAAAATTGATAATTGCATAAAGATTCGTTGTCTAATCATGATAAATACATTAATTTATGTCTTTGTTATTAACAATATAGATATTTATATGTTGACTTCAATATTCATGACTTTAGTACTAAATTATACAGGGCGTTAAAGAAGAGGAGGTCTAAGACATCAGTGGCTCACAAAATAAACTTCTGTATCTTTGATCGAAAAGGTTAATCTTAGGACCTATGTTGATTAGACATTTCCTACTCCACTCGGTGAGTACTTATAAGTACTTAAAGTTTTAAACTACTTTTGTTCGAACTCCCTGTATTCGTAAAATGCTAAGTATTCCTGTTCATAAAATAAACTTTTCTTCGTCTAATCGAATAACGCCGGTCGTCAATAAACACCATGCCGGTCAACATGTTAATGTTGTCACAACAGTTGCGTTACACGCTGCAGCCTAATGTGATTTGGACAGTGCAACCAGAAGCAATGGCATTGGCCGACGCAGGCGGGACTGCACCCTGGCATTGTGAGCAATGTCATTGCCTCCGCGGATAGAGGCCCTTGCTTGGTCGAGGACGAATTTCCGGCAAGTGCGATCACCGCCAATGCCAAGTCGAACCGATTCATCGAGCTTCATTTGTCAGCGTTGACCGCCGTACAGTCGCGGCTTCTATAAATCCACCTACCGTGGACACGTTTCGCGAACTGCGGCTCGCGTAACAAAACAATTTAGCGGTAATGTATGAGCGTCCAATTAGAGGAATCGTTGCGTTGCGGACCTAGAACTTACGAGGAAAAGGGACATACCGAGAAAAGTTAGTTGGACACGATTAAATGCTAACTATGCGTGCAACGGATATAACAAATCGATGTCGAGAAGTGAAGCTCAACGACGGATTCATCAAATATACAGGGTGTAACAAAAGTGTTGTCCGAACCGGAAATGGGGCACTCGGGGGGTGAATTGGAACAAGTTTTTCCTTAGCAACAATCTAATGTGAGGCTTCGTTACCGAGATATTAACGAAAAACCCCGGCCAATCAGAGCGCGAGTATGCCAGCCGAGTTCCCGCACTAGCGGTGGCTAGGTGCTGCGATTTGTAGCCAATGCTACCGCGGGAACTCGGCTGGCAAACTCGCGCTCTGATTGGTCGGGGTTTTTCGTTAATATCTCGGTAACGAAGCCTCAGATTAAATTGTTCCTAAGGAAAAACTTGTTCCAATTCACGCCCCGAGTGCCCCATTTCCGGGTCGGACAACATTTTTGTTACACCCTGTATACTACCATTTCATTTCAGTCGTTCTCTATGTTCCGTTAGGGGTCTAAATTCACCCACGCAGAAAATGTTTGTGTCGCAATATGCCCCCCTCTATACCATGTAAGTTTTGTATATAACATTTTTTCATATTATTACAATTAACGGCAATAGTCAAAGTGGACATAGTTATTGCCCCACACTGTATACAAACGAAATAAATTTCTGTATTTAAGGGACAGTCAGACAGTACCATAGAAATCTTTTTTTTTCAATCTTCTAATCTTTTCTTGTTAACATTTTAGCAAGATGTAATAGTTGGACCGCAAACCTTTATGTAGATTCAAATTTGTATAGATTGATTTATTGCTTTAAA